CAGCCTGTAGATAGGAACAGTGAAGAAAAAATTCAGGAGCGTTTTGACTGGGTTCATAAATGGGAGTGTACGGACATGGACTTTAGAACTAATTGCGTCTTTCTCGATGAGTCTGCATTTCACATTAATTTGAAACGTAGTATGGCTTGGTCAAAAAAAGGATTACCTGCTGTGGTCACAGTGCCCAAAACCCGAGCACAAACAACAACGATTTTAGGTGCGATCTCTGCTTCAGGATTAATAAAGTGTAGCCTGAGATTACCGCAGCCGCCAGCCAAGAAAAGAAAGAGAGAAGGTTATGCTGAGTTAACGAGCACAGGGACAGTAACTGGTCATTATTTTAGCTTTCTGAAGGCCACGGTGGATGAAATGGATCAGTACCCACATATGAAAGGGCACTATCTTATTATGGATAACGCTCCTATCCATAAATCTGGAGATATTGCTAAATATATTTTATTTCGCGGTTACCGTTATGCTTATTTACCGTCATACTCTCCTGAACTTAATCCAATTGAGCAATTCTGGTCAGATGTTAAGAGCAAAGTAAAGCGCAATAGGTTATTGGAAAAAGAGACGCTGATGACGGGAATTAATGAGGCGTCCAATAGCTTAAAAGTAAGTGACTTCAAAGGCTTTGTTCGACATTCATATAAATGTTTAGCCAAATGCCGCAACAGAGAACATCTTTAAATCTGTCTTAAAGTGTACGCATTTATATCTCAGTTATATGGCTCATCTTAGCCTTATTCATAGAACCTGTTTACCGTATTTTCAATGCATTTATACTTCTTTTATACAATAATATTTAGCCATTTAACATAATACATGTTGTGTATATAAACGCCCCTGAATTCAATAGTATTACGCATATCCGAAGAGTTAGTTGATAATCTGACTTAGGAATGTATTAGGTATAAACGATAACTTTCAATGGTATCTTTTTACTTTTGTGTAAAATAAGACGTGGAGAATTATACACTCCAACAATATACGCCGCACCGTAGGACAGACTCTCTTATACAGTATATTTGGACAGGTAAATATGCTCTTTGAATACTCTTTTTAAGTGAATATCATGTCAATGCTAAAATATGACAGACGCACGCCTGCCTTTCCTTGCGTATTAATTCCACATTTCAAATTTTGTATGATTATCCAAAAAGAGGACCAGATCAGGAACATGTTTGATACTTGTTTGTTCACTTGCGATTCAAAAAAGAAAAAAGGAATACTCTATATATTTAAGTTTAGGAACAAGATAGAAATAGAAGCAAGCATAGATTGATGAGAAAATATTTGATTATCCAGGCGATATGTTGTGATTACTATAATGTTATGTACTACAAGTAAAAGTATTCTTATTTTCTCCTTTTTTTTTTTTGCAATCAAAAGAAATAGCAATCTTTTAGCTAAAGAAACTAAAAGTCATTAAAACTATCCATCAGATGATAGTAATCACACTGGTAAATGCCTTAATAATGAGCCATTTCTCTCTCTATTTGATAATTCAAGTACATCTTGAACGACAAAGAGATATCAAGAATTTTTTTACGCACTTTAAAATCATACATATGAGAGAAGTGTTTCTTCTTACAAAGTTTCAAAAAGAAAGAGATAAAAAAGAAATGTTGTTTATTTATTTATTCTAATTTTATGCTGTCAGTTCTATCAACAAAAAACCAGGATCATTCACGTGTAATTATGATAAATTCGTATTTCATATCAGAGAGGATGAACTGGACAGCTTTAGGTTGGGTAGACACTTTGGTAGTGTGAAGTTGTACAGTGACAACATAGGTAGCGCCCCAAGGAAGCGCCCGTAGCATTAGCCTTCTTGTGGATTTCCTCCTGCACGTAATGCTCGCCTAAATACGGTTCCCATTTTCTGAAAATATGAAATTGATTTTGATTAACTGCGATACTGATTGTTGGAAGCACTGTACTTGTGCCATTTCATGCTGCAGAACTCTATTTTAACTTGCGCGCGTTTACCGCCTTTTCCCATTTGTTTGGTTTGTTTCATTTTTTTTTTTTAATAAATCAACCGTCTGTCAAGGAAGAAAGGGATGAATGTAGTTTATTTCTATGGTATCTAAAATAAAGAAAAGAGAGAATAGACCATACTTTGCACAGGTATGGACTTTTACTTTTAAACGTACTCTGAATCAAAAAAGTTACATGTCGTCATGCTCTTGAAGTCGTAAAAGTTGCATAACCTCACTAGAAAATTCTGTTTCACTTCCTAAAGTACACAACTTCATACTAATAATATATGTCTTCATTTAAAAGGTGTACTGTTTTATTAAAAATAAATTTCAGAAAGAGGATAAAATTATGATGTGTATGAAAAAAATGATTGGCGATATTAAAACAAAGTATTTACGCAAAGGTGAAAAATAAAATGTGTGCAAAAGGAGACGGCATACAAATGAGAGTAATAAGTGTCAAGGAAAGAATATAAAGAATTATACAGCTAGCTATGTAAGAAAATTATTACATGTATATAACTTACTCCGAAAGTATCTAGATGTGTTCTAGCGATAACTAGGACGGAGAATCATCGTCTAAGCGTATTCTAGTTCTTGGTTGCTCCTGATCGTCCACTCTTCTTTGTCGTCTTGTAGGAGCAACAGCAACCCGGCGAAACCTATGAGGGACCATGTCATTACGTCGAAGCCCACAAAGGATGTGCATGCAGTTGAGACAAGCAACAACATCCCTGTTCCAAAAGCGATATCTATCTGGAGCTGCCATGGCGGGTCTACAGTATAGATTGGTGCATCTACAAGCAATGTTTAATCAGTATAAAGTCATACAAGTGGTTCATGTATTATTACCTTAAAAGGCCATGGCAGACAACAGTAGGATATCGCTCACGTTGATACGGTCGTGGATTTGGAACACGACGGAACGTGTGGAGGCTCTCGTTGTGGCATGTTGGACAGTACCTACTGGTCTTGTACTCGTCTATAAGATAGACTTGTAACCCATGTTCCTTGGGGAGTCTTCAGAAACCAAGGCCACGGATGGGCTCATGGTACCTAGCATGGGGAGCGGACCAGTTTCCCATCACAAACACGGCGTCTTCTCCAAACTTGGTGCGTAAGTCTTGAATAAGCTTTTGATCGGCACGTTGTTTGTTGAAGTACGCTGAAAGACGGATCTTGCGAAAGAGGGGGTATCCATTATCATGGTTTGTGATGGTATGTCCATAGAATCGACTGAGAACGGCAGACTGTTCAGATCTGGCTTGAAGGAAGCGGCCAAAGCCTTCTACGGATATAGTACTGCTTGGCTGTTGAGAAAGGGCTTACTCAGCTCGAACGATATCAGGATCCTGGGCTTCGAGAGCTTGCAAGATTCGACGGTACTTTTTAGTTTTCCACGTCTTGTCTTGCTGTTGTTTAGTGTACCTGAATTTCACTAATTGCTCTGGTGTAGAGTTTTCGTGTACAAAATACAACATACCTCTTCTTCCTGGGCCCACAGCGACGCATCGACCAGAAATCCCTTGGTGATTTCGACGAGTTACGTTGGTGATGTAGGAGGTAGCTTCATACTCCACCGTGAACCTTGCCGTGTATCTTGTTTGCCTATCGAACCTCTTCTTGAAAACCGTGACGTCAACGCCATCAGTTTGAATGGTGCCACGGAATAAATAAAATTAACTAATAGAGTGGCAACAATGGCACCTATGACCTACTCTAGTGAAAGGTTGCCGCTTATGGTATCACATCCGGACAGGAGCCCATGCATATTGAAATCAAGGCAATTACCATTTCATTAACAAAACAAGTCCATTTCAATCAAGAGATGTACCATATTTAATCAAATAAACCCGTAATTAGTCTGCCTTGTGCCAGAGCGGCAATTGTAGCTCATGTAAACGACAATAAAAAGTATTCATAAAAATAAGAATTAATCATTTACTTCTTCCTTTGTTCTTTTAATCTTACTTGATATCATTGTGTATCGTCCATCAGTGAGTAAGTACGTCAATGATTATTGTGATATTAATGCTAACGCTCATATGCACAAGGCCAAAAGCAAGCTGAACTGCTTCAAAAGAAAGAGAGGTCAAGTTGCTGAAAAAATAGGTAAAATACTAAGCCATAGTACCAAATGAAATATAACAACTGTCAATAACTATTTCAAAAGTGTGTTTCCAAATGTCGCCACATCTAGTTGGCATGTTCTTCAGGGAGGGAGGATGAATTTGAATTGCCAAGTATATCATTTGGCTTCTGATATTGATTTCTGGTTCTTTCTTCTATTACTCTCTTCTTGCTGCCTCTGTCTATGCCTTTGATTCTGCTATTGACAATACTTAATGCCCCTTTGGCAAGGGTGGGTGGGCTTGGTTGCTAAATACAGATGCGGCTCCTGCTACCATTGTTTCTTTTATTGAAACCCTTAGCAATTGATCTCTGGCGCTTTCCTGATGTCCCACTTTTCTCTAGTTATGTCTCTGTACCTGTCTCTGTGTATTACTCCGTTTTTGAAACTAACGATTCTTAATACCCTTTGGGAAAGACGAGAGGATTTGGCTATCCCAGCACATGCCACGGCTGCAGTATTTTGTATTACACTTAGCTTCCATTATAAGCACTGCTCGAGCACTGATGTTGCCGTACTGTGTTACAAAAAATATTCAAAATAAAGTTTGTTATAGCTCATATATTTCTTTTTATTGATGTCTCCTAAAGTTCCCTATTATTTAATTGCATCAAGGCTATACTCAGCATGTCATTTAGGATAACTATTCAAGCCAATAATCAATCTACACTCTACCTGCTCATAAGCTGTACGTGTTAAAAGAAAAAGAAACTAAAAGCAAGAAAGTGGACCTGCTTAAGATAACATATGATCGAGTAATGCGTGCAATTTACTTTGAATTAATTTTCGTAAGCTTGAAAAATTAATAATTTCTTTATTCTTTTAACTAGAAGCCTTCTCTTTAGTACTACACAAAGGCTCCTTTTTTACTGGGGTTTTTTTTTTCTTTTTCTTTTTTTTTTTCTTTGTAGCAAACAATAATGCTTGTTAGAACAATATGCTTGTATTTTATCTTGCTGTTTAGTGGTATTTGAAAAAAAAAAAAAAAATAAATGTTTGAAGCTATTGATTATTTCGCTACATTCGCACCTTTATATTTTTTTTGTTTATCTATGATTCTTTTCAATATCATCAATAAAAATCTATTCGCATATTTTAAGCAAAAGCAGCTCTTTACTTTGTAGTTGCAAAAAAAAAATAGGTTTAATATATATAAATCAGCATTCACACACAAGAAACTGTAGAAACAATATATTTTGCATGGTTGAATATCTTTTTTTTTTTCTAGGTTTACTTTGCAAGTATAAATTATGCTACTATTTCTTTCCGTTTTTTATTTTGAGTAAAGATTATAATAAAAGCCTTTTCTTTCTGATTAATTTTCACTCTTTTTATATCAACCATAAATAAAAGTACATTGGGTACCGAATGAATACAAAGATAAATAAAATGATCCTTTTTTGTAGCCATTTTTGTTGTAGTTTGGAGCTTGATGTACCTAGTTAGCGATTATTACGAATAGAAAATATTTCAATTAATTTATCTTTTGCTGTAACTCTAACTTGTTGCAAAGAAAGACCCGCAGGCAAGACAATATTGCACTTAAATATCTTTGACCAGACTAAAAAAATCTTGCTTTACTTTATAAAGCAAATGTATATATCTCATGTCAATATAATCCTAGACTATATTTATAAAGTAACATATAGTCAGAATTTCTTTGCCTTGTCGTTATCAGCTGCAAGGCTTGAACCTGTGCAGTAATCAGATTATATAAACAATCCATTTTAGGCAACCCCTTTTTTTACTCTTTTTCCAGCTTTTTGGCATCAATGCAAATGTGGACACACGTGACCCAATCCTTTTAAAGACCACTTTATCTTTTTTTTTTTTTCTTTCTCATACTAGAATGACTGACCAAGGTAGTCCAGACTGAACTCTCATCTGTTTTTAGAAATAAACACTAACTAAATACAACAGGCTCGACTTATTCAGTACTTCAGAATGTGCCTGTAATGGTATCTCCTCATTACAGACTACCAAAAAAGGTATGAAATATTGAATTATCAGTTCACGATTTAACATGTCCAAAAGATTATCATTGCCTCAGAACTTAAGCCAATTCCCGACGATATTTCGCAACTGGTAAACAGGATAAAAAAAAAACTATAAATGTGGAAATTCATTACAAAATAGACAACCTATCCCTTTTCAACAGAGAGACAAGTCCTTAGTTATATCGAGGCATCTCGTAAAAACGCCTTGGAAGAGGAAGAAGCTTTGAGAGCAAAAAGGGCTCAATACGAACAAGAGAAAATCAATCAACAAAAGTTAGCGGCTAGAAGGATTGCTCCAGGATTTCTGGATACGGATACACGTATTTTGAAACCAGAGCAAAAGTATAACCCTACTCCCGAAGCAACAACAGAGGAACCTCAAGAGTTAAACCAGACTAGTTCTGAAACGAGTCATGAAAAGGTGAAGAATTAGTCAAAGAGCATATAGGTCACCATACGCTGACTTTACAATAGTTTGATTATCTTCGATTCGAGCAAGGACTTGCTCCAGCTGATCCTTGGGATGCACCAGAAAACGATTTTGTTGCTCTCAGATCAGTTTTGGGTAGTAGCCCCAAGGCTAATTACAGTACGCCTACAAGTCGCACGTCACCTGTAACTTATACATCATATCAACCGCAGCCGCAACCACGACCATATCCACCAAAGAATGAAGGAGGTAAATAAGAAAAAAGACTTTTATCCTTTGTCTAATATATGTATAGCTTATTGGAACTTCCAAAATGGAACAACTATGCCATACCCTCAAGGATTATCACCCAAATCTGTACCAGCTATACCGCCCAAACTGTTTACTAACTCACCTTTGCCGTCCTCCTCTACTTCTTCGCCCATCATTTCACACCCTTCTTCATTAAAGCCTCTAGCCCATCCTACTGTTTCACCAACACCACCACCCATACCACCATTACCCAATCCACCCTATGAACATTTAATTGAAGAATTAAACAACATGGGATTTACTCGAGCACAGGCTATTGACGCATTAGAAAAGAATGATCACGACTTGATAAAAGCTACCAATTTCCTTTTAGATCAGGCATAATACAACAAATCAAGTTGAAGTTCTATAGTTTTTATTGTCATGTATTTCAATAAATATGTACATTCTTCTCTCTCTCCTCCCTATTTCTTTTCGTCCCTCTTTTAACTTCCCCACCAAGAAAGTAATCCTAAACCATCTTCTTGTATTGTGCACTAGGAATGATAGGTTAATGATTCGCCCTTTTTGTCAGTGAAAATTTAATACTTTACAGTAATAGAGTAGGGTGGTATTTTTGTTGAATTGGCAGCAAGATCATCACTGGCATCAGCAGCTGATGGACGTCTACCTGCTGCCTTTGCAGGTGGGTGACTTGTTGGTGTAGTATCTGTAAATTGCTCACGTAGAACTCGTACCCGAATGGGTTCTTCAATATCCATAAACATTTTCTCTCCTTCGTAATTCCACACCCAAACTTGTTCTGCTGGATCACTATTTTTTTTATAATCAACATTTATTTTATAATGTCCTTGTATTGTACTTACAATTTGGATCCTGGTTGAAGTGCAGCACCAGGAATCAAGATATCATCAAAGAATCCTAGAGTCACTTTAACACTGTCAATATCATATATACTAAAGTCGTAGCTTTTTCTTACCGACGACGCCTGCTGGTGAAGAGCTTTTAATTTTTCCAACTATGACTTCTCCAATGAATGGTCTAAACACAACCAATCTAAATGTTACTTTAATGTAACTGCAGCCATCGCCATAAAGAATGAATCCTTCAGACATGTGCAAGATATCATGAACGCATATACAAAGACCCACTTCTTGCACTACTTTGTTTGCATATTTCTCATTTAATACATCTGTCACAGCATTAATATCGTCCTTTTTGAAGTCATTAGGTACAATCTTGACTGTATCTTCTAGCTCAGAAAGTATAAACATTTGAAGAAAAAAAAAAAAAAAAAAAAAGTGACTTAAATTTTATTGTTTAATTAAATGACAGACACCTTGACATGAATCATACCAGTTCCTTCTGGTGTTAAAGGTAGCCAGCCATCAAATGGAAGGTCATCAGGAAGTTTGAATTGATGATCACCGATATCGACATCTGTGAGAGTATTATGATCCTTGACCTTAAAGTCCAAGGTCTCCTTTTGAGGAGAAATCTTGGTAGTAAACGTTTCATTCCACTCTGGAGTCAATGTCTTTTTGATATGACGAGTCTTGTAAACCACCTTATTTCCTACTCTCACACGACAGTAAGGGTCACTGGTGCCTCCTCGATCCATTGCTTTAAGGTCACGAGCTTCTATCAACTGAACTTGAACGGTGACTGCATCGTCAGAGATGGATCGCTGAATGCTTGAGCTGCTACGAGATGTACTTGGTTCAATCGAGGAAGTGTTGGTAGCTTCCCTGCTGAGGACAGATGACGCATCGTCACTCGATCTCTTGGTGCCAATTCTTCCCAGGAATCCGCTTCCCAAAGCAGAAACGCCAGCGCCAAACACTTTGGTTCCCGCGCCTATGCCAGCACCAACGACTTCTCCTGGTGCTTGAGTGAACACACGTGTGGTAGCAGAGAAGAAGGACGTGTTGGTTCGCTTACGAGCAACGAGATCGGGTCTCCAGGTCAAGCGAACGGTCAAGGTACCAGTACCATTTTGTAAAGTGTATTCCTTGGTAGCAGTAACAAATGTTTCAATATCGTTACCAGTAAAAGAGATTCGGCATTCGCCCAAAGGTGTGTCTTTACCAATCTGGTCCCAATCAAAGACCTTGGCTACCAGGTTAGACGTCATACGATTGATCACAGGCACTGTAAAGGTCTCGTCTTTGTTAAACACTGGGTTGACCGTCTTCTTGTACACTTGCGATTTATATATACGTTGTTCATCCAAGTAGAAGCGAACAAATGGATCACTTGTGCCGCTGCGATCTGCGGCTGTCAAGTTGGATGCCTTGACCAGAGTCACCGTCAGGTTGCCTTGGTTTTCCAAACTTTCTTTAGGGTCAAGCTTGAATCGAACAACAGGCACGTAACGGAAGCTGAGACGGATGAGACCGGAGGGGCATTCCAAGAGTGATAGCTCTTGTGTCACTGGTTCATCTTGCTCCATCAGTTGTTCAACAATCTTTCGAACTTCTAAAGTGCATCGGCCCAGGATAGACTTGTCATCTTTTTCGTCTTCTTTCACCTTTCTTACACGTACAAGAAGCTTGGAGAAGTCAAGTTCTTTCACAAACAAGGTGCCTGTCTCGTTCACTTCAATATGTTTGTCTCGGTGTTCGAGAGTGCGGAATTGAGGATAAGTGCTGTCCAAGGAAAGGTCCACCGTGACCTTGGTTGATTCGGGTAAGCTGAGTGACTGAACAGTGACGGCAAGCACGCCAGATTCATATTTGACAAGATCGATCTTGTCGTCTTTGTATCGAATGATTTCTTGGTGAAGGTCCTTTTCAGGCAATTCCTTGGGCTTGTCAATCATTTCAGGTTCCTCTGAGGCCTGGCTGCCGTTCGATTGCTCTTCATCTGCCGTGGTGGGTTCTTGCTCCTTTTCTTGCTGTGGTTCCTTGGCAAGGGCTAAGGTAGGGAAAAAGGAAGCGCTATAACGAAGCGTGCCACGTCCCTTGGTGCGTTCGGCCGTCATGAGTTCCACGTTTCTGGTGACAGGTTCGAGTGCCTCATAAATCAACTGACCGTCCTCCGTCTTGATTTCCTTCATGATATCTTCAAGGAGCAGATCGGTAAGACCCAAACTTTTATCCTTTGTATTATCGTTATAGTCCATCACCTCGAGCACCAAATCCTCACGCTTGGAATGAACGGGCACATACAACACTTGATTCCAAACTGGACAAAGCGTGTCATCAAAGTAATCAGTCTGACCACGGTTCTGAGTACCGACCAAGAGACGAACATAGGGATCAGATTTGCCTCCGGTCATTGCTTCTACATTCTTGAGATCATCGGCACTTTCCACATGGACTCGAACGACGCCGATCGGAGGGCGGTAGGCACCGTGAGAAGACTGCTCAGTGAATCCCGTCATGGTGATATGCTTCCACTGCATGCCCAAATGGACCTTGCCGGCACCGTCCTTGAGAGTCCACCAGTCTTGTTGATTGATAAAGCAGTCTTCCTCAAACTGCTCAAGCGTTGACTGCCAGCGTCCCAAGATACGATCGTCCATGCTGTCGTCCCGGATCTCGACGTCCAGATTGAGATTTGTCTTGTCGGTCACAAACAGCTCAACAGATTTGTCCCAGCGTGGGTTGACGCTGCGCTTGAATGGGTTCGTGCGAAGTCGTTCTTGACCATTGACCTTGACTACAGCGTATGGACTAATGTCCGATTTTCCAACCAATTCTTTACATTCATGAACAGAGAAGCGCAAGATACCACTATCTAATGTGTATATATGTCAGTTATGCAAAGTGGGCTTGCTATTTGTAACATACTTGATTCTTTAGGAGGAATTACCGTGCCATCCTCGTTTTTGTCAGGTAAATTAACAGGGAAATAGTGAAGGTCGACCTTGACTTCACCACAGATTTTACCTTTCTTCATGACAGAAAGTGACCTATTAAACAGGTGAGAAAGCAAAGAATAATTCAATATAATCTAAATACTGTACAAGCCATCAACAACATTATCGTTTTCCTTGAGGGCCTTGAGATCAAATGTACAGATACCACAGGAAGTATCGCTTCGTCCTACATTTCTATCCTTGACTTCAAATACCAACGTATCGTTTGTATGGTTCAAGAGTACAAAGAGAGTTTCATCAAACTTGGGGTTACGGTTATCTTCAATACACTTGGTTCGACCCAACTCTGGGTTCTTTTCACTACCGACATGGACAGTAATGTAAGGGTCCAATGTGCCAAACAGATCATTATCCTTTAATCCAACAGCTGAATGGACCTTGCAAACCAAGACACCATTTGCAGAATCTAACAAAAAAAGAGTCAGCCTTTTTTCTTTTTTCTTTTCTCTTGCTTACTCAGATCGACAGCACCAGACATCATGCCAGCAACGTCCAAAGTATAGACGTTTGGAGCATACATCATTGGCTGGAGCGTGGCATGAACTTGTTCTTGAATAAATGATTCAAGGCCAGGAATCTATCATGAAATATTAGACATAGTTCAAAAATAAACACTTTCTTACATTATTAATGTCAAATCCAAACGTTTCACCGCCCACAGGCTTGAGTACATAGTCAAAGGTAGGCTTTTCCAAGAAAGAAGCTTCGACTGTCTTGATATGGGGAAACTCATTAAACATTCTAAACTTTAAGCGAAGATGACCACTGAACGCCAGATCTTCCAACAAGATAGGCATGCCTGCACCAAGGACACCCTTTCCGACACGAATGGTCAGTACAATCTTGGGGTTCACTTTGGATTGAAGATCACGCTCGGACATATCCAGAGTATCATTAGGCACAAACGAAAACTTCCAGTCCATACACTATAGACAGATGATTTAGTGAGAAAAAAAAAATGGGGCCAACTTACCACCACATTAGGCTCGGTCTTTGTGATCGTCTTGATACTCTCAATACGTGGTGCTTTTGTACCCAAGGTAAATGAAGTCAGTCGGATCGAGTCCAGAAAAGAAGGCGTGCTATCGACCAAGATGGAGTCTGCAATACCAATGATCTGAGCCGAGAGAACGGGTTCATAAATCAGCCAGAACCGAGACATGAAATGATTGATCCAATCAGCTGTCTCACTTTCGGACTCAAGCCGATGAATTGATAATTCCCGCTGGATATCGTCTCTCACATTGCGTCGTAGTCGACGAATCGATGTCTGGTAGTAGGTTGCCAAGAAGGCGCCGATGACCAAACAGGCCATCAGGCCACCTCCACATTTAGTCAGAAACCAAGTAAAGACGACGGTAAAGAGCATGGCGGCGGTGTTATGATACCATTCACCATAATAGGCCTCCTTCAGGAACTGAGACAAGACGTCTTGTTTCTCCACGGTGGATGTGCGCACACCTTTATACATGTCGATCACAGCATCCAAGCCAAGCTGTTTGGCAAGTACCTCCAGTGATTGTTCGTCGCCTGGGTTGGGTAGCTTAGAAAACGCGTTCCATCCAACCTTGTCATCTGTCTTGGACGTGAACGAGCCAACGGAAGGAACTTTTCTTGCTGGCTTGGATTCGGCAGAAGCAATTGAAGCAGCCACAGTGGTTGTGTCATTTGTGCCTTGATCGTTTGATAAGGCGGCGGAAGGTTTGGAAGGCAGACTGTCTAGCACCACCTGGGCTTGTTTCTCAATAGCCGCTTTTTTATCAGCCGGAGAGAGGGTTTCACTTAGCTCGACCAGTTTCTTCTTTTCTTCTTCCATATTTTATAAAGAGAAAATAAAAAAGAAGGAAAGAAAGAAAAAATATCAGTATTAAGAAAGGAGGAAAAGGTGGGGGGAGTACGAAATGTTGTGTAGCCTTGTCAAAGGAAACTAGGCCTAATTTTAATATGATTGAAGTCACCATTACACATTAAATACATCTTGTCTTATATCATACTTTGTATGCCTATGCCTCACATCCTACTATCTTTTCCTTCCCTTTTACTTGGGATATAAGCTATTAAAGTTTGGTCGGCGGTTGAACATGCTTGAGCAGCCCTTTTGCCTTTTTTGTACTCTTCTCCAGAAGGAAAAAAAAATACAGTATGTGATGCACCTCGTCTATTTTTGCTTATCACCTAGTAATGATCCAATAAAATTCTTGGCTTATTTATTTTTATTAAAGGCAACGATTTATTTGCTTGTCATTTTATGTTTAAGACATTCGAAATGAGTATGCAATTTATCTAAAAGATGGACAGGAACACGTTGTTGATGAAATTGAGTTCATAGATTTTGTTGTTGACGAAGGACTGTTCGCTATCAGAGCAATAAGTTCTCGTATCCAGTTCTTAATAAACCTTCAGAAAGGCCTTTAAATCTCTCAAAGCAATCAACTACAGATGAAAGGAATAAGAAAATGTTGACATGGAATTATGCAACAAGCGACGCTATACTATTCACTCAAATGGCAAGCAAACTGGATTTTTTCATTTATTTTTTAGTAAATGTCTGAGCGTGGCAGCTAGGCAATCGGATATTCATGTTCGTGCAGCCCAACGATGGGTCAAACGCTGTTATGAAAATCCTGAAAGCATTTTCGAAAAGAAAAAATCAGGTCGGAAAAAGAAACTTTAAAAACACATTAAAAACCATATATGCAACACCAGGACATAAGGAATTAAGTGATATGAGGGATTTGTATAAAACATACGCATTTTAATGAAGGCAATGGCTAGTTGAAGCCTTGCGATTTCGGTTGCTTCTGCCATTAACAATTACAGCCATATCACTGTCAGACAATGTTGGTGGATGTAGTTTTTGAATGTCTGATGGCTTGGACGTGGTGGCGTAAGTGTGCACAAAGGAAACAACAACATCCAGGAACCTGTCGAGTTGTGAGAGGTATAAGAGTATTTCTTTGATAGATATTGGTAGCTGAGTGTGTGCGACTTCAAACAGGGTGTACATGTGGGCGTGAGGGCGATTGAGATGATAAAAGGTGGGTGTACACTACATGCACCAGAAAATACACCAGAAGTTAGACTAACACTACGGGCGCTACTTTTACATATTACCTATGATGAAGTCCAGCAAACCTTTTCAATGAGTAGCGCCAAGCTAAACATGACTTTATAAAATCACTATCTTGGTTTGTGTTCTTTCCTAGAAGAAATAGAAAAAGATTTTTTTTTTTCAATTTTATATTATCAGTTTGATCAACAAAGTCTATTTTTGATAAATTCATATTTGCATTATTTAGCCTATTTTCTGGTGCATGTAATGTTGGTCAAATGATATCTCGTGCGCCTTTCTTTCACAAATTCTCTAAGCTTACAAATTTCGAACCGAGAGGATGGTTTTATTCATAGGACTGTCTGCACCATCATCCACCAACTGAACAGTGCGTTTGGAGGCTTGATGGCGTGACAATTTCTTGTGTTCAATTTCGTGAACAACAACAAACAAAAAAAAAAGCCTCACGGATGGATTGCAGGCTGCTGTAGATTGAAGTAAGTTTGGTCCTTGGGTATACATCATCACTGTGGTGCTGAGTGTGTCGCTTTTTTAAGGTTGCATCATGTTTATTTTTTATAAGTAATAGTCGTCTTTTTTTAGCAGCTCAAAATTACAAATAGAATCAAATATCCAACTTTTCAATAATAAAGTTCGATGTGTAAACAGATCCTTTAATTCCTGTCTTTTGGATTCAGGATCATCGCTACAAACAATCACGTCCTGGCATGAGTCTTCAACAATACCTCCGCCTGCTAAAACGCATTTTTCCACTTGTCTCTGTAGATCGTCATCTATTATACACACTTTGAGGCCTCTAAACAGGTTTGGTTTCTAAAGGGGCGTGAGTTAAAGGGGAAGAAGCATGAATTTGTTATACCTTGGCTTCTTTATTCTTTCTGGCCTTTTCAGGAGCACCTGTTCGTCCCATATCTCGATCCCCACTAATTTCATACCTACTTTCTGGAATAATATGACCTCTCTTTATACAGTTCTCTAACCCTAAATATTTAAGTTATTTCTCTGGATGCATGAGTTCAACACATGCTTACATTGTTCATTGACGATAAAACAACCATACAAGATACCCAGATAATAAGTTAGACTGCGATCCACAATGTTATGCTTGTCTGTATCAGTGAGTTATTTTTCTTTTTGGTTTCTTTTATACATTTACCTGCTGGTAATACGATATGAGTTACTTCTGTGTTCATTTTGTCTACAAAGGTCATGTTCGGGATATTCAACTCCTTTTATGATTATTTTAGCAAAAAAAAAAAAAAAGTGTATATGTCTATTTAACTTACTAGCTTATGCCCCTTTTTCAATATCCTACATTCTTTCTCTTGTATTGGCAGAGAGTTTTCTTGTGCTTGTAGAGCAGCCCTAGCTTGAGCTATAACGAGAAAAGCTATCAATACGCGCGTATAAAAAAGAGAGAGAGATTTCGAACCTTTTTTAATATCCAAGGATGTGACTAATGTTTTGTCTTCTTCTGTTGCTGTAATTTGTAATCAGTCATGTGCTATGCATTTTCTTTTTGTTCTTACATAATGAGGCTGGATCTATAAAAGGATCGTCTACTTGATATTCTTGCTTTAATTTCATAAACTCATCGATTATAATTTGTATATTGGGCATTGGATGAAGATGTTTTATAAGGTGATTGCAAAGTGGACATGTCGCTTTTTGCTGCATTTTAGTTTCTATGCATTGTTTACAAAACATATGAGCACATGATATAGACATAGGTTGCTTCATGAGAGACATGCTATTAAAAAAGGTGAATAACAATTACAAGACAAAGAAAGCATATGTATACCAAACTGAGCACTCAAGCTCTCTTTGCATTGCATTCAATACACTGTTTGTTGTTGTAGTCATGTACACTTTATTGGAACAACCCGCGCGGTTTTTTTTTTTAAAAAAAAGGCATTATAAATGAAAATCCCTTAAATAAGCAGGCAGATCTTCTTCACCTTGGTGCAACTCACTGGCTGTCGAGCTAGTAGCAGCAATACCAAGATTATCAGCCACTGATTCATCATAAGCGTGATACACTAGTTTTTGGTAGAGATCAGAAGGCAAGCTCTTGACGAGTACCTTGGTAAGTTCAATAATTTCCTTGGCGCGAAGGGGAGGCAGGACACGAAGTATCTTGTATGGGCTTTGGGTTTGTAGAATGTCTCCACGAATAAGAGCAATTTGAGCAATCACAAATAATATATTCAAGTGAAGACCATGAGCAAACATATAGTCCCATAGTTGTAGAAGCTCAGAAAGAGGTGCTGTACAAGCCGAAAATGTCATGATGGCTATGGAAAAAAAAAAAAAGTTGGGTTTCTGTTGTTAATTTGATAAAACACTTACGAGGTAATGCATAGACAGTGGCTGATAGATTCTTTCCACGTAGATAACCATAAAGAGTAGGATCCAACGAGCGCAAACATAATTCAAAAAGCTAATTGAATAAGTAAAATATAAAAATGAGAAAAACTTACACGGATACCGCAGTGTACACCTCTCATAGTCGGAAGAACATAAAGTGGACACCATCTATAGATAAATGTCGAAAATGCAAAAAAGGCATCCATCTCTGGCATGACCATTAAGAAAGGAGCAGCAAGTACATTCATACCTTGCATATATGTAATATTGGTTATGGGCTTGTCTGTAAGCAGTGTACGAATACTTTCTATACGAGGATCTATAATGAAAAATTAGAGATCAGTAAAGATATAAAGCCCTTTACCCTTTTCTCCAGTCCAGACAAATGCGTTCAGTAATCGAATGAGCATATCTTCGGATACGTGTTCTAAAAAGCTAGTATCTGTGGCCATTGTTCTAAATGTGTCATTACGTATTTTATCATCAAGAGCGCTTGGTCCCAGTTCAACAAGATGGATATAGCTTGAGGCAGATATGTTACGAACACCAAGTAATAATTTCCATACTTTTTCTCTTTGCTACATATACTGATGAGTATTTCAAAAGCAAGTGGAGTTTGTATTTACGTCAGGAAGACATGTTTGAGTGAGTAATGCTTCCTTCAGATCAAAGATACTCTTGATAGTCTCTTCAGGATCTGTATGTTTTCTGGCAAGTATTGATTCAATAGATTCTTGATTCATAAGAAGAAAAAAGGAATAAAGAAAGAGATGGTTTATTATATTACAAAGAGAATATATAGAGAGATACAATGAAATGAATATTTCTTAAAGGGGAAAGATAGACATAGAGAGAAAAGGAGGAGGGAGGGAGGGTTACTGTACAGGATTATCCAAATCATGATGATATCTTATACGATTTGTTCTTGGTTGATTATTATTATTATTATTACGATGGCCTCTATTAAATGTATAAGGCTGCTGTCTTGTGACAACATTATTATTACTATTATTATTTATAGCAGCGTTTAATACAGGCTTAATGTATTCTTTCTCTGACATGTTTGGTTTCTCACTAAACGGTAACGTATCTTGCCCCACTCTCTTTAATTTACATTTACTAGGCGTACAAATATACAAATGTCCATTTCTCAACTTACAATGCCTATTAAAGAATGAGAAAAAGAGGGGGAATATGACATTATTATAACTTACACTCCCGATAGACGTAAAATATCTCCATTCTTTATCTCACTTCCTTTTGTGCCCCAAACAGTCAATACGATTGAACCTGTTCTATCTGCTACTAAAAACTTGTAAACTATATCTCCGTCACGTGTACCTGTTGGCTCATTGTCTGCTTATATTTGTTAATTATACCTCTTTATTAAATAGAAATGCCTTACCTGGCTGGAGCACAATCACTTCGCAATCAAAATTTTTACATTGTGCATTCATGTCTTTTACTTGAAGAAAGTTTGCAACCACCTTATTGGCTGGCTGTTGTTGTTGCTGTTGCTGCTGTTGTTGTTGTTCTATCATCAATAGGAAAGATGCATTTGTGTAAGAAAAGAAAGCAAGAAAAAAAAAGGCCAAAGTGCCAGTTAGCCCTTTTACTTTGAATCCAGATGATGTTGGTTTTTTTCTCGACAAATCAAAATTATTTTTCAGATTTTTAGATTACCTTTTTTGGATGAAACGAAAAATATATACAGGCAGGAGAAAATTAGTTTTCAGACAAGTATAGAACTTGCCTGCATCGTGGCTTACACTATCAATGCCTACTCTAGGCAAGATTATTGCTATTATCGAGTGGCATAGAGTGGATTTTCTTTAGGAAGAGACTTCAGTATATGTTGAAGAAAGCTCGAGGGTTCGCCTCTGAAATCTTGAAGAGCGATCAAGTACTTGTCGATGACTGTTCATGATTGCTTTGAAATTCAAAACAGCTACTAGATACCTATTCCATTGATCTCTTGGCTCCAAACATTTTTGATTTGTGCATCTAAGAAAAAAAGTTAATGAAATAGTTGTCTGCATTTTAGAAATTAAGAACATGTTACCTTAAGAGTCAGTGACACAAGACTATAGGCTGGCATGCTTGTCGAAATGGTCGTGGATTAGGGACTTTTGCAAACTTTTCTAATTTTCCATTTTTACAGGTAGGACAAAAAGACGTCTTGTGTTCATCGATCAAATAAACGGAAAAACCATGTTTCTTCAACATTCTTCGCATACCCTTGCCACGGATTGATTCATGATACTTTTGGTTTGCAGCAGATCAATCCTCAATGACGATAATAGAGTCTTTTCCGAACTTCTCTCGAATTTTTGCTGATACCTGGCTGTCAGACTGCTGCCTGTTGACGATCGAAGATAGCTTCATCTTTCGGAATGGAATTAAATCATGATTGTGATGTTCATTATCTTCATTCATGTAATATGTGGACAATGCCTCATGAACTCTTGCCCTGACTTTCAAGTATTCGGCAAATTGAAGAACGTTAACGGTCAAAGCTGGATGTTTTGAAAGATATGCTTCAGATTGTTTTACTTCTTCAGGTTTCGTATTTTGACGCAATTTAGTAAATTTCTTCCACTTGGTTTCTTTGGTCCTTTGGTTAAGAGTATACCAATAGAAAACACTCTTGCTATTTGATTTACTTCTCTCATGCATACAATACAACAAGTTACGGCACCCTGGGTCGATAAACACGTACTTATTGGTGGCTTCTTGAAGCTCCCTTGTTGTCAATTTGTTTATATGTTGACATTCATCTTCGTCTTTATACGCCTAAAATATTACAAGGATTTGAAGTATAGAGTGACTTTTCTTTCTTTTTCATCTTTGAGACTACTTTGCTTCTGTTCTCAAGGTAGACATATTATTGAAGAAGACGCCATGACAGGATTCATATTATGAAAGCTCTCTCTCACCATATAAGTTCGTAGCAATATTCCAACAAAATAGACACTACATACACGTGCCTGAAATAGTCTGGTAGTGGCCAAACATATATATATATATATACAAAACTGAACCTTCCTCCTTATCAGTATCTTCTAGAATGCACCCCTTTTTATTTCACCAATTATCAAGTGTTTAAGTACGCAATCAACTTTTGCTTTAAAGTGCCCTTTTAAGAATGTCAATATTTGAATAAAGCGAGGATTTACGAGCCTTACTTCTTGAAAGACAGGAAACGACCACCGTCAATTTAATTTATTTTCACCTTGTAAAAACGACATTTAATTTTTTAAATTTTATTATATTGTCTCTGTTGGTATCCTTAAAAACAGGATAACTTTATTTTTGTCATAGACCTCACATTATCGCCTTTTAATATATGGCAGTGGCGTGCGATACTTATTAAATTCAAGAGTTTTCTCAGAAAGCTGCAACTCGAATTTGAACCACCTATTCTCTCCCACGATGCTTTCAGAATGATTAATTACTCTTCTGCCTAAAAAACATATCCTTCTGTCTGAAAAGAAAATTGATTTGTCCAGGAAAAAACACTGGACCTTATTTGGACCCGAAAACATCCCAAAAACATTTGTGATCGGAATAACTCGATGTGTTCCCTTTTTGGCAAACACCAAAAATATCCCGAAAACATTTGTTTTTGGGTACCTGAAAACGTCCCGATTATAAATGTTTTTTGGGATGTCTTTGGGAGTAAGTGATACCAAAAACACGGATCTATACGCATACTTACTGGCTCTTTAACGTATGATTTATACTGTTAACCATTGCTTATTAGCCTCTTTCTATAGACGATGAGCATACTATTGACGCTTTTTTTTAGATGAGCATTTATTATTGGTACATATGCTTCTTTAGATCTTTCATAATTGATATATTGGGACACTTCTTTACCGGTTATTCTTGGTAGAAAAAGAATGGTATTTGTTTTATAAAGTACAATTTTTATTATGTTGTAGTAAGAAATAAAAGCAATAAACGAAAACAGCAAATGAGAGACTTTAAAGGCTTCATTTGAAGGGGGTATACATGATGGTACTTACCATAGCAACCTTACAAAACGATATAACCTTTCTTTAAAGATCATGTAGCAGCTATTATTCATCAGCAAGTGTCTTGCACTATAAGTTAATATAAAAAGATTAATTAGTAAAGATCATCCTTTTAAAATAAAGAATATCTTTTGCCTTTTATTTCAACGGTACAATAGTATCTTAAAAAATAAAAGTAGACTATATAAAAGAGAGTTGTTAGCAGTAGTTTTTAAAAGGACGTATAATACCTTTACCCTGCATAAGCTAGTACCATACAACAATTTATTCAAATAACCATAGCTACAAGTCTATTAAAACTTTGTTAAAGCCATTTCACTAAGAATTGTTTTTTTTGTTAGTAAAAGTGTTTTGTTTTTTGCGAAGTACTTAGGAGAAAAGAAAATACAGAGTAGATTTAGCTTATAAGCGACAACCCTTTCATTCCCAGCGGCCTTGCCACTTAATCAGGAAATAATTTACTACTATGCCACATGTCTTTTTTTCCTTCTGGGATATTTAAGATATAAGAGCAGTAAAAGCTAATAACTACTATTGTAAAGCAGCTTTGAAGTAACTTAGAAGATATAAAGACTTTTGAATGTTTACAAATGAATTGAAACTACCAACGTTACATTTTGAGAATTAACAAGTCAAATTGCACAACTATAACTAGCATCTTTTCTTTTTCTTTTTCTGCTTACTTTACACTTAGATAGAACAACAAGCGAATATAAAAGCTACACTATAACGCGTATAGACTGTACTTGCTTTCTAATTTCTAAATGACCAACATAATGACTAAATTACAGAGAATTCGCTTTTTCTTTATATTTTACGAACAAGTCTCTTAAATGAAACAGAAGTGCTTTGTTACCGTAAAGAACTGAAATAACTTCCATTCAGTCATGATTTCTCACATTCCTTCCATTAATTGACATTTATTTACCTGCTTTAATGTGCTTTTTAACAGGACCGAATTTTTTCTTGCCTCATCGGCCTTTGAATTCTTGGCTGCCGTAATCACACCAATATGCAAAGGGAAATAATGTCCTTCTTTTGTTGGAATAAGGACAATTATGTTTTTTGTTATTTACACAGGAAAAAAAAAAAAAAGAGAGGGGAAGTGTGTTAATTCCTCTTTTTTTTTTTTAAGAAAACCCTAGTCAGTCATGAATTAGACTGAATTGCTCCTTGAATAAATTTATAAAGGCACTTGTTTATTACATAATCATTTCTGTACAAAAATAAAATAAATTAAAGCTTAGCAGCAGGCTTAACGGCCTTGAAGACGGTATCCAATTTCATAGCCAACATGATTTGACCCTTAATCTTGAGTTTACCACTCATATAAGCCTTTTGACCATTTAATTTACCAGTAGCCAAGTCAACAAAGTCTTGATCCTTCAAGGTCAAGATAGCATCAGGCTTGACACCCTTACCACGACTAACTTTACCTTCCTTCTTGACATCGACGACAAAGACCTCTTCTTTACCTTCGTTGTTCTTGATGACAAATTGAAAGACACCATTGACTTGCTTGATTAACTTTTGCTTTTCTTCAGGACTGTAGTTTTCGAATGACTTGTTAAGTTCAGCAATCAATTCAGAGCTTTTGAAACCAGGAACGACGATATCAGACATTTTGTAAAGAAGAAGATAATAAAAAAAAATATATAATTTTTGCTCTTGCTGCTTTTATAGTCACTGATTTTAATTTTTCTTTATGTCATCTTGATCTGTACAAAAAAGAATAAAGTTACACTCTCCGCATTTCACTCGTAAAATTACAATAAAGAAAGAGAAAGAGAGAAAGAGAGAGAGAAATTTTACATCCCCCTCCTTTCTCCTTTTGTTAGTTGAAATTACAAGTTTTATTATTATTCACAGAGTCTATTAAAAACAACTTTTATGCCTTTATCATCATAGACATGTGAAAAGGGACCGATGGGAGAACCAAAATTACTATAAAAGACTATACTCACCCCAATTTAAGAATCTGAGATTGAAAACAGAAGTTGCGTATTTCTTTCTTAGATGCAAAAGTGCTATGGAAGTCTGATTTTACACAAACGTTAGAGCATCCATAGTTATTAGCAAAAGAGGAAAAGGTGTCGTGTTTAACTTTGATTTCGAAGCAAGAATGATGAGAGTCGAGATAATGTGACGAGATTGATGGAGTGTGTAAGATATCTTTGGGATAAAGACCAATCCATAACAGTTTAATGGTTTAAAGAATGGGAGCTATACTACTCGTATAGCCATAATTAAGGGCGCAAGGCTTCAAAAACCTCACAGGGAATGTAGTCAATGTGATATTGTTGTCTCATCTTGTAAAAATCAATATACCAGTACAGGTTTTCCCCTTTATTGTTTTTAACCATCTTCCAAAGAAAATATACTCAAGATACACAGTTTGAACACTTTTTATTCGACTTTTTGAGCAACTACGGTGTACACATGAGCATGGCCATTGATCGATGTCATACAATACTCAAGTTCTTTCAAATAATTTTGTTGTTCCTGTACATTCTTTAAGCCCAACACAGGACCAAACATGGGCATGCCACTCTTTGCAAACTGTATCCAAGCCCAAATGGCCATCTTGGCCTCATTTGTACCATTGGCTAGTACTGGCATGGTTAGAGGTTATGGTGTTAAATTCTGAAAAAAAGAAGCTTACTTGTATCAATGTATCCGTATTTAGTGTCAGTGATTGTGATATGATCAGCTTCGGATACCATTCTTTCTAATTCTCTTCCAATTCTTGCATCTTGTCCTCTTGCCTTGCATGTAATATTGGCTATGCATTAAATGGTGAGGGCATGTTATTTATAAAGAGGAGGATTTACCTGCTTCCATCAACCTGTAGAATGCATCCTTCTCTTGTCCTTCTTTTAGTTCAGGTATCTAATGAAGTTTGTCAAGAAATCGCTCCTTTTTTTTATTCTTCTTTTTCTTTTTTACCCTCATATCGAGCTCAACCATTTGAAAGTAACCTCCTGGCTTAGTCACACGGACCAGCTCCTTGATCGCCAATGGCCATTCCTCGATTTTTAATGCAGCAACAAATAGTCTCATATGAACAAAATCAAACGAGTTGTCTGGATACGGTAAACCTTCAAGGATATTACCAATGGTAAACTGGAATTGTTTTGGCATCATGTTCTTATTGACAACATCTACCATATCACAGCCATAGTAATTGCAATTGGGATACTCAGAGATCATATCCTAATTCACAGTGAGTCTTTGTTTTAAATGAAAATTGTCTGGAGTTACCATGACCCACACGCCTGATCCACATCCGACGTCAAGTACTTCAAGTCCGCCCTTGAAATCCAGAGCCTTCAAGACCTTTGGACGAACGTTTCTATAAAAGGATGTTATCAAATGACATTATAAGTTACCATTCTTTCGTTACCCTCCAGCTATATATTTGAAAATGCCATGTTGCTATAACAACATATTTAGACTCATTGTATCACACAGGCATACACAACTTACACCTGTCAATCTCAACTGCTCGTCCTCATCTTTGGGCAACCAGTAAGTAGACGTCTCTACTTGATGAAATTCTCTCTTTGTGGGTATATCTGTCTTTTTACTATCATCAACCTTGGTCTCGCTCATGTCTGTCAAATGTGTTTTATTACTAAAATATGTATTATTTCGTATCTTTGTAAACTTGTTTCCCATGAAGAAAAAAAAAAAGAAAAGAAAAAGACTTGGCTTACCTGTCAACTAGATGAACAAGGGGAATGAAAAAGTGAAATATAATCGAACCAGGAAGGCTTCCTTGCTTTTGTATTCCATTATTGTACACACTGTGAAACTACCCTTCACTTTGTATGGGTGTCGAGTTACACATTCCCTTCTTTCTACACTGGAAACCTTTTAACCGTTTGATACAGTTTTTCCTGAAAGTTATGTCGCATAATTCGGAATTCCATAATACAAAATATACAAAAAACGACACCTTGGGACGCTATTAATTTCTGGAAATAGTGTGTGGATGCGCAAATACATAAAAGCTTGCACAATTTAGCTGTCATCACTTCTTTGTTTACTCTCCCCTCTGTGACGGAGGATAATATTCGCCCTGATCATATCTTTGATCACGTGATGTTTTGTACGCTTCTTTAGGGAATAGTGGCTTCTGGCTATCATGAAGAGACAGAGGATGATTTGGCAATGCTGGTGGTTTTGAGCGCGTTAAAAATGGATACGAATTGAGTGAAAGACAGCAGTTTGAAGATTGAGGAAAATGTCACTTCACCTTGTATCTGTTCAGGCTCCGATTTCACCGTCTTCAAAATTCAGTGTCTGTCCAGATCACTCCCATTTCGAAATATTATCTCAACCATGTTGTTCATTCCAACTTTCAATGGCCAATCTTCTCATTCTGAATAAGCCAGTGTAAGTCCACTTGGACTTAAAGAATGGCTATTATTATTGTTATTTTTGCATTTGTTTAATTACATTTTATATCCCTTTTGTTGTAAATACTTGTAAAGTATAAATTGTCTCGCAGTACAAACAATAGACTACATTGAATTGTGCTAATTTTGCTTATAAACCACATGATCAAGCAATTGATATAAGGACAGTCTACACGCTCAATTCATAGAATATTGTTGATACATTAGCGGTCTCCTACAGTCTTTTGTTAATTGTTTCGTTATTTACTTCACCGTTTGACGAAGGCTAACACTACATGCACCAGAAAATAGGCTGATGCTATGGGCGCTTCTTCTTCTAGGCACTATTTGTAAGGCTTTCAAATGGAATATCCTTTGATATGAAATGTGAATTCATTATAATTACGCATGATGGTCTTGGTTCTTTGTTTATCAAACTGACAACATAAAATTAGAATACGCCAATAACAACATTTCTTTTTTTATCTCTTTTTCTTCTTGAAAAGAAACAATTCAATATGGTGATTTTATAAAGTCATGTTTAGCGTGGTGTCACACATTCAAAAGCTTTGTTGGAGGATATCGCAGGTAGTGGATAGAGGTAGCACCTGTAGTATTAGTCTAACTTTTGGTGAATTTTCTGGTGCATGTAGTGTTTCCCTTTGACGAAACTATACACACTATTCAAATGAGTGTCTGTCATTTGCCTCCACGGAAGTGAAACTAGTTGTCCTGATAAAGAGGATATGCCTATAGCGTGCCAGCGATTGTTTCTCATCGTTACAAAAATGTCAAAGTCACTTGTTCAAATTCCACAAGATTATACAATCCCGGTGAAAGAACGACAAAACGACGCGTAACTAGCGCTCCTATAACGAAGCCAACTTAAAGACATTCCTGGATGCACTTATTATGTTGACTTGCATCTCATGCGTGGAGCTCTTTGACAGCAAAGATGAACTGGCCCTTCATATGGATAACACACATGTGAATTTCGTGATACTCTCTCTTTCTCTCTTTTTAGCTTGCAGCTCTCTCACGCTATTGGTTCTCTAGGATACTTGCATGCCAGAACCGACAACCGAAAGCTATTGAATAATCGGTGCTGAAGACATATCGCGCAAGTTCCATCAGTATAAAACTTTATGTGCCAATCGACCTGTATCTAAAATAGATCTAGTTGACCACAGTTCAATGATTTATTGCAAGTCAATTTGGCATTAAGGATATAAAAAGCGCCCAGCTAAATCAAAACAGAAACAAATTGGTGTTGCTTCTGTACGCTAGCCACTGTTTTTGATAAACGCTACACGCACAAGAAAATCTACGAGAAGATTAATGCTACGGACGCTCCCATGAGGCACTTTTACGGAATTGATATCGTTTCGATATTCCCAAGAAAAACGACGGCCTTTTGAATTTGCTTGGTCTCCTTGACGATCTACTGTTGGTTTCATCGATCCACACAGACCTTTGTGTGCGAAATCAGAATGTGATATGTTAGATTATCGTTGCTCGACGGCTCCATATATTTCGGACAAGCATAAACCTCGAGTGTCAAAGAAAATCCTTGTTGACAATTGGCCGATGGAGTATACACTCATACTTGGTTAGTTGAAATATAAAATGGTGGCTCAATCAGTTTAGTAAAGTTGCCCCATTCAGCAAACTCATATTTTTCCAGCCTGGCTTTCGACATGTGGATCATTTTTTAATAACCTCACTCGCGTTATATAACTCGATTTATCCACTGTTTTTCCCTGTTGAGATGTTTTGTACTTGAAGAGTATTGAAAAACACAACGTCTGGCACCATGACCTTTTAACAAGCGACATGGTTTCTAAAAATACGAAATTGATATTCATTGGCTGCAACATTTATTGTCGACTCTAAAAGGGTTGCATAAACATTTCTTGTTACATAAAAATTATTTGTCAGAAAATACACGGTATTAAAAAACAAGGAGAGAATAGGTCACTATTGACACAGCGCTTTCTTTTTATTTGGCCCTGTTGAGAACTTGTTTATATTATTATCGCCCCATATTGAAATGATGTTGGCTTTCCCCCATTACTCTTTTTACTTTTGAATCCCAGTTAACCCAATAAAAGAAAAGTATGAAAAAATAGGGGGCGCATGTTTACATGTCGTGTCATATTCTACGTAGATATACGCTATGTGTCTGTGTGTTGTTTGTTTTGATTTCTTTTTTTTTTATTTTCTCTCTCTCTTTTCAAAAAAGCTGATGCCAAGATATTACGTACCTGATCGATCCAAAAGACTCAACAAGAACTTTACACTTGTCCAAAAAGCACAAATCATTGATTATATGGAAAAGACCGAAGGCATAACCCAAGTGGCTGTCACCAAATGGGCGCAAAAGCAGTTTGGTCTGGTGGTGCCACCTACGCAGTCAACGATAAACAAGTTATGGAAGTTCAGACACAAGTATGACGTAAAGGCTATCCTGGAAGGAAGTCTCTGTGGCGGTGTTGACCGTAAGACGCTACGAAAGTCCAAGTACCCTGAGCTTGAAAAGCTCCTGATCGATGACATTATCGATTGTCAAAAGCAGAATGTTCCCTTGAGTGGGAATAGGATTAAGCAGATGGGTGAAAATATCTGTCGATTCGATCTTAAATTGGATCCTGATTCTCCCAATTCTCCTTCCTTTTCAAACGGTTGGTTTGAACGGTTCAAGAAAAGACACGGTCTGACGACTGACATGGTCGGTGGTGAGCCTAGTTATGTCGTTTCTCAGCGTTTGCATTCTTTGAATATGGCTCATTCTATAAACCAAGATGATCAGCTAGAGTTATCAGAAGGTAAGTCATCCTTTTTACATCTTTATGCTACTCAACCATAATAGAAAGTAAGCCTATAGGAGATGAGCCGAATGATACCACTAAAGAAGATCTTAAAAGAAGAGAAGCCATGCTTGATGCTTTACACACAATTATGAAATATCAGTCTTTCTTTGGAACTGATCAAGATGTTAACTTCTATGATTCTTGTCAAATAATGTATAAAAGAATAAGAAAAGATGATGAACAACAGCCACAAGGCAAACAGAAGAAATTGACAGACTACTTTCAATCATAAACTTTTTTTTTTCCTTTTGCGCTTTTTTTATGTCTGATTAATATATCAATATCGCTTGCTTAGTACAAGCTTTTGACACGAATATAGAGTGCTCAATGTTTTTTCCCGAGATTAATATAGTAGAAATTCCCTTACACCAACAGTTTGAGATATTTCATCAAGGCTCGCTTCACTTTTTGTTCTTTATTGAAGAGATATAAATGCTGAGTGTGAAAAAAGAAATCAATTGGCCAATGCAATTTATAGTCGTACAAAACCCAACTTGTGTATATATTCTAAGGGAATCTTTCATTGCTTGGACAAAGATGTATAATAAACGATCCATGTTCATACTTTCCAGCATATTTATATAATGATACTTTTGTGATAAAAATACCCTACTGTGTCTGACTTTTTTTTTTTATTAAAAGAGACAACACCGAGAAACCAGAAAATGACTGGGAAAATCAATTTGGTAAGCAGAAATCTTTATTCTTTCAAATAAGCTTTTTTTGCTTCTTTTTTTTTTTTTTTACTCCCTTCTTGTATTCGTTAAGGTTAGTTGACTGTATTTTAAGTACAGCATCCAGACTAGCATAGTCATATTTGAAGAAGCAAAGTATTTTCTCTATTTTTAAATATTAAAATGCCAGTTGAAGGATTCAAAGTTGACGTCGAGAAAGCTGTTGGACACGTATTCAAGACAGAAAAAGTTGCTTGCAACAAACGTGATTACCTTTTATATGCACTTGGCGTTGGTGTAAAAGAAGATGAACTTCAATACCTTTACGAACTACGTAAGTGTATATATGTTGTATACGTTTTTTTTCTCATCTTTTTTAGGCAAGGATTTTGCCCCTTTACCCACCTATCCTCTTGTATTGATATTAAAGGGAGACAGTTACGACGTCAATTTATTCCAAGAACGTGTACAAAGCGGTGACAAGTTACCCGGTATGCCTCCTTACGACCCCAACAAGATCGTACATGGCGAACAGTCCTTGGAAGTGATCACACCTTTCCCCGTGAATGGCGGTCGATTCAACACGCGCAAGACCTGTACAGGCGTCTATGACAAGGGATCAGGTATGGTGATTGAGACAACCATTGATATATTAGATGAACAAGACAAGGTCCATTATAGTCGTATGGTCAGTAAGTCTTTTGTCCGTGGTTATGGTGGTTGGAACGTAAGTTATTGCTGTTTATAAAAGCTCTTTATACTTATTTTTGATAAAAAGGGACCTAAAGGCCCTAAGGGTACTTCCTACACTCCTCCCAAGCGTAACCCTGATGCCGTCGAAACCTTTGCTACCCAACCTAACCAAGCTCTTCTCTACCGTCTCTCGGGCGACTATAACCCCTTACACGCAGATACCGAACTAGCTCCCCGTGTCGGTTTTCCCAAGCCCATCCTTCATGGTCTCTGTACCTATGGCGCCTGTGGTCACGCCATCATCAAATCCTTGGCCAATAACGACCCTTACCGCTTCAAGTCTATCGAGGCTCGTTTTGCATCTCCCGTCTTTCCAGGCGAAACCGTGGAGATCTACATGTGGAAGACACCTTCGAACGATGCCAAGACAGAGGGCGTCATCTTTGTTGCCAAGGTCAAGGAAAGAGACGTTGTCGTCGTCAGCAACGGTTACGCTGTTCTCTACAAGGACTCACAGAATGCATCAAAGCTTTAAATAAATTTTTTATTTACGAATGGGAGTAGGAAACTCGAGTTTTCGGTGAAGATGGTAACTGATCTTGATATAGTCGGGTTCTTCATCAGGCGTGATATATGAATGTCTCATCATAAAGTCGATGGCCACTACAAAAAAGTTAGTCTTGTTGTTCATTCCCTTTTTTTTTTTTTACCTAGAGCAGAATTTGATTTCCATTCTTGGTTTAATATACTCTCTTTGACCTGAGAAAACAAAGTCATCAGTACAGAGAAAGTTGTAAAATGGGTTTACCTTTTCTAATGGCCAAAGGTAAAAGCAATCGACTTCACCATCTTTAGGTGTGGGCTTAAAATCTTGAGGAAGTTCTAGGTCAAAAATGTATCTATCCTATCTAAGCTTTTTATGTACTTGAGAACTTTTTCTTTACAACTTACTCTGTCTCTGGCTGCAGGCCACCGTCCGTAAAGGTATAATAGCTGATGACATTTGTACTGCGTGCCTGATAGACATTTCAGTCGGCGCTCTTATTTTGACATTTTAGCTTTTTTTGTTTTACCTTTGAAGCCAGTTCTGCTGGAATACTCGCTTCTTCATCACATTCTTTGACAATAGTATCCTTGATACGGTACTGGTAGGAGATGCCTCCAGCAACCTATTTATATATATATTAAATAATCTTCTTGAGGTCTTACAATGCGTAACTTACGCAATTATCCAACATGCTAGGCCAAGTTGGCTTCGTCTTTGCTCTTCGCGCTACCCACATGTGAATATTGCCTTCATTATCCGTCACGTACGCATTCAGATGACATCCAAATGTGGATACACCAAACAAGGGTGTAGCCGCACGCTCCATGACAAAGGCAAGATCATGATGTCCATAGATAGGGTACAGTTCATTTCTCCATCCCTCCAAAACAGGAAACAGTTTACGCTCTCGCCAAGTGTCTGCTAATACCTTCATCACCTCTGTGCGCTTGTCAAAGGTATCCACCCAATTGGCAAACGTCACGAGGTCAGGCTCGATCTTGAAAGGTGAAGGTGATACCGAGTTGTTGTATTCGGTCAGCGCGGAGATAACGTTGGGTAGGATCTGACCGAGGAGTGCGTCGTTGTGCTTGAAGGCGACAGGTTGCTTCTCTGTCTTTTCAAACACATATGGATACTTGTCACAGAATTGAACGGCTTCGAGTAAGGAATTGTGAACCATTTGGGAACAAAGAATTAGAAAATAAGAAGAAAAAGGTGGAGAGGGGGAGAGAAAAAAATACTTGTGAAATAAGCACACAAGAAAACAGGTTTGATTATCGTTTCCTCTTTCCATTCTCTGCTTTAGTTAAATTTGGTCCAATGACAAGGGCTATCGAAGTGACTGTTTTTAGGGGGTGGAGATCTTTGTGATACAGTCTGTTCTTGTGAAAAAAAGTTGCCGCATCTTTTTTGAAAGGCCAACACTACATGCACCAGAAAATAGGGCGCAACCTATGCTGTCTCTACAACTTTACACTATCAAAGTGTATGCCAAGCATAAAGCTGTCCAGTAGGATATCCATTAATGTAGAATATCCTTGAGTTGATCTTGGTTCTTTATTAATCAAATTGACAACATAAAATTAAAATAGCATTTCTTTTTATCTCCTTCTTCTTGAAAAGAACACAAGCCAATATGGCGATTTTATAAAGTCATGTTTAGTGTGGTGCCACACATTCAAAAGCTTTGTTGGAGGATATCATAGGTAGTGAATAGATGTAGCGCCTGTAGTATTAGTCTAGCTTCTGGTGCATTTTTGAGTGCACCCAAGTGTTTGCCTTTTTTTTTTTTTTTTTGTAGATTAAAATCATCCATTCTGTTGGTGCAAAGAGGCCGATTTCATCCAGACATTGTGCCCATCTTTGGTCGACAATTGATGAATAAAATTGTTAAGGATATGCATGCAAAGCTGAATGTTGGTGCTTACGGTAAGGATTTCTCGATCAATGCAGTGCAACATGTGTCTGAGATCGTCAAGGTAAAATTGATGAACGAAATCGGTGTTTTTACTTTAACCACTTGTGATCAGGGACGTCAGGTCCTAACGCACTTCGTGATTGAATACTGTGATTCAAGTGTATAGTCTTTGCAAAACTGTGACTCCAAACGAAGACAAGGTTCTTAAGTCAATTGCTAAACTGTAAGCCTCCGTTCGGAGTCAACGCCTTAGTATGTTTGATTCGTGGCCCACATTTTTTTAGTATTGAAAAACTACCAAATCAGGCGCTCATGGATACCACCAAAGAAACGAAACACTGTCAGCGCTACGTAAATCCTATCTTGTCCGGTCCGTTTGATGATCCAGAGCAAGAAGTGCTTTTTCGGTGGTAAAAGAAAGAGTGGTGCCTGCGTGGAGGTAGACATAGAAAAAAATCTTGCTCGACATTGTTTATGTATTAGAACATCAGTGTTGAACGAAGAATATAATCAGGATACTTCAATCTCTCCTGCAAGACCTGATTCAGCCACGACAAGGATGAATGGTTTGTTCTTTGGATTTTCGCTTGGCTTCATTGAAATGAAACACACAAATATATCTAAGTATCTTGCATCAAAGGATCTCATACGTTTGGATGTTTTATCAGAAAACTCGATCGATCAACATGATCTTCAGGGATATCTCACCATTCAAGCTGTTGGTTTTCGAATGGCTGTATTCCTCACCGCTCTGCTCGCCGATGGTCTTTACGTGATGGCTAAAGTTGGTGACATTACAATTCCTGTATCTATTCGCGAAATTTCCCAGTACCTTATTCCCATTCTCGAATGCTTTCAATCTTTGTGCTCGCCCTCACCACAACCACAACCATCATTCAAACGAAAGAGTCTCGATGATGAAAGGTTTGTAAGACTTGTTCCGCCATCTCGATCCGCCAAGCGACGCTCTTATACCAGCAATTGATGATTATACGTGTCTTTTCTTTATTCCTATCCTTTTCTCATTGATTTCATTACTTTTTGATTATATCACTTTGATATAAAGCTTTCTGTGTGAAAAGGAAAGATGAAAAATATCTTAGGCTGCGCTCAACAATCGCCATCTTCTAAGTCGCTTGACCAGGCCAATCATTTTAAATCGTTTTAAATCGTTTTATATTGTTTTATATCGTCAATCGTACCTAGTTTCCCTTGACTTTATGGTCTTTTTTTAATTGTTTACCTTTTGATGAAATCATTATCAGTCATTACAGTACATTACATAAGAGGCTTTTTGTTCCCAGCACTTGTAAGAATGTAGTTTCAAGCAAGCCTCACCCAATGCCGTGAATGACATCGAATGAAGCATCTTCAGAGTGCTTGTTTATTATGACATTTGTCCAACCATTTATGAGAGTGTCCAACGATCTCATCTTCAACCTCAGCCTCAAACCATTAGAAACTTCGCTGATCTGGGTCATCAGCGTTTCCTTCTCGAGAAACTTGTTGTGTTTCACTTTGCTTTTGACCACTGACTAGAATTTCTCAATTGGATTGAGCTCTGGAGAATATGGAAGCAAATAAGCGGAGCGGTAACCACGAGATTCTACGTATTTGGCTATGTCCTCAAATGTATGGATAAGAGCATTATCCATCACGAGGTAGTGACCTTCCATGTGCAAATACCGATTCGTTTCATCTATTGTAGCTTTTAGAAAGCTGTTATAGTACCTCGTAACCGCTCCTTTGCTCATTTACCCAACTTCACCTTCCCGCTTTCTCTTTTTATTGAATGGAGGCTGACGAACTCTAAGACTGCATTGAATCAGACCTTCCGCAGGAATCGCACCTAAAATATTTTCTAGAAAGAGTGTATATATGTAGAGAGAGAGAGAGGGAGGAGCTTGGTCTGTATCTTTGAGTAACTTTAAAACAACCTGCTTATTTCGTCTATTTGTGCGTCCTTATTTCGACCACATTAGAAATTAGGTTCAACTCAATGTAGTGAATTTTTCCCAAGACCACAGTACAGTAACTGTTCATTCAGAGCTATATATATTCGATATTTCAAGTCATTATTACAATATATGGAGAATTACAGTCTGGATAGCGTCAAAGAGCTCTTCTATTGCCAATTATACCAAATCAAATAGGCGGAAAAAAAAAACAATTAGTAATACTCGCTATCAATAGTTCATGTCTGCTGATACTTTTTTATCAACTCCTGAAAAAAGGGGCATATAGTGAGAATTTCAACCTTCTCAGTCGCAACAATCGTATCCGAAATATCAGGTATTCGCTTCAAATGTATTCCAGTTAACAAAAATGAAGCAACATCATAAATTGACTTATATATAAACCATATCGATTATAAAAAAAAAAAAAAGCAGTTTATGCTAAACATTACAAAAATATTATCTGAAAAGAGCAACTCTAGGAGAAGAGATATTTAGTTGGGATCACCTACAGCAAAGAGGATCAAGAGGTGATTAAAGACACACAAATGGCAGGTCCCAAAATTCGATTATTTATTGGCTGAATTCAATTACTGCTCTAGTCGAAGTGGAATGGAAGCTTTTATAAAGAATTGGAGTGGGAAACACCGTAGTCATCCCCCAAGCGGCAAATAAACATGACACCACTTTTCCCTCTCTTTATGATGCAAATGAGTGTCATGGAACGTATTCATTAGATATGTAAAGTTCATTATTAAGCTGAGGATCATTTGCAGAACGACCTCCTACTAAAAAAAGGATACGTGTAACCCAGCCACAAATGTGACTCGATTTCTTATCTGTCAAACGTCTATATAAACTTGTGATTTTTACAAGCAATCTTTTTTTTTTGGATTTATATCCCACTTGTTTGTCATGTCCAAATTACATATCAGGTAAGCTATTGATGTCTATGACAACCAAGTATACTGAACTAAGTATATATATATAGCTATAACCAAATCCATGAGTCTATCAGAGACGCTGTTGAGCGTTTCCACATCAATGATACCTTCAAACCTGACCTGATGATTGCCATCGGTGGAGGCGGTTTCATCCCTGCTCGTATCCTCCGTACCTTTCTGAAAAAGACATCCCGTGGAAACATTCCTATCCAAGCTATTGGCCTTTCTCTTTATGAGGAACTGGGAAATGAAGAAAGACCGGGTACTCAGGTCCAAAAGACACAATGGCTCAATTTCGGTGCATCTCATTCTGAAATTTCTTTGCTCGGCCGTCGTATCTTAATTGTAGATGAAGTCGATGATACTCGTCAGACATTAGCCTTTGCTGTCAAGGAATTACAAAAGGATATTGAAGCTGAGGAAATTCGTCATGGTATGAAGCCTGGTGAATCGAATACGGTCCTTGGTGTCTTTGTACTTCACAACAAGTTGAAGCAAAAGAAGCAGGATTTACCTGAAGAAATCAAAAAGAATTATTTTGCAGCTGTTGAAATGCCTGATCAGTGGTTGGTCTATCCTTGGGATGCTGTCGATATCGAATCCCATACTGAGTTGGCGAACAAACACCAATAAGAAGAACAACGCTGCAGTTCATTTGTATCATAAACCTCTTATCTCTCGTGCGAGAGAGATAAATCATTATACTTCATCATTATATAGACTTTACAAATATTAGACTTTTGATAATTGTAAGAAAATAATAAAGACATCTTCAATATTTGTCCTTTAGCAAACATGGCTTATTATTCAGGGACACTGAGACACCAACATGAAGTAGTCACAATTGGTTCCAAGCTCTAATGACTTGATCGTCAATAAAAGAATTGATAAATGAGTCGTGGTTGCTACAAGTTCGAGGGCATTTGAAAAGATCTCAGGGCTGGTAACATTGTCCTACTTTGGTAGTCAACTACTCACTTTGAGGTGATAGTGAAACTGATTTCTGTAATTTGCTTAAATTCAAGTAACACAGCAGTTGCACCCTGTTTTAATAAATAGGTAATACCAGGGGCACTGCAAAATCCAAAAAGGGTAGTACAATAAAGATATCACACAATGGATGAAGGATATGACCTATTGATATTACTATTAAACTGACTACTGATTACGATAGAGCACTTTACGTACAACATCAGCTACTACAAGATGGCTCTGTGGTACTGGAACTGTGTCTAGCGAATAAAAATCGGACCAGATCAAATTATTCCTACAGTAGGTTACTGAATGGGCTATGACTCAACTGTTCAATATAGCACAGTCTGGCACCAACAATGATAAAAGCTCTTGCAAATCACTAAGTACATTTACCGCAGATAATGATAGAGTATCATGACATATAATTGCTTCTTTATTTTTTCTAATGCACTAAATTTGTTGTGTTGCTTATATGAAAGAAACTTGAAGAAGATTATATAAAAAACATGGTTTCAAATTCTACGAGTTAAAAGAGAGAGAGACTTGGTACTATTCGACCAAGATATTTTTGTTTGCAATGAATCTTTTATGAATATGTAACCTACTTTGTTGCAATAGAGTAGTCAACGAATTTCATTATCATTAGCGCATACTAATCCTTCTAACTTGTCCTCACAGTCATCAAAAGGGTCATACATGTAAAACAACAAGTCTTGCTTAGAAAACAACTGTCAATCCTTTGTGTACCATTCAAGAGGAGCACCCTTGATCGTATCACAGTAACAAACTACAGCAAAGAGCACAATATCGCTATGACGGCTTTTAGCTCTTCTTTTTTTAAAATAAAAAAACGATGACAATATTTTGTAATCATCTGAATAAAGAGGGAGCTTGAAAGAAGAAAAGTAGTATTAAAGAATACACTGAGAAGAAAGCGTGATAAAATGTATACAGTAAAAAGAAGAGAGATAGACAACCTTCAGAAGTGGAGCAAAGACAATACTATCAACTTAAATATTCTGCCTGTTAACAGAAGTGCACTTGTGTTTCAAAGTTAGTTTACAGTGTAAAGCTATACATTATCAATACAGGTTGTCTTTGCTACGTTTGCCTTTACTACAGAGACTTTGAGATCATAGATTGCTCGTCTTGTTGAAGTCCACATCATCGTTCTTATCGTTCTTTTATTCTCTTTTCCTTCTTTTGTTTAATAGATAAAGTCGTGTTATTTTAATAAAATAAAGTTACCCTTTCCTTTGCTTTGAGAATGATATTGTGTCACCTTTCAAGACCCATTTTTCATTGTTCGGAGTGTCAACCATGCAATAAGGGATCGACGTTAAGGAAGGCGTTCCTCTTTTTACACTTAACAATGGAACTACTTTGAATAACATTTGAGACAGTAGCGCATACCTTTCTATGAAAGGTAAAAGATTCCTATTCTGGATATGAAGCCATGGTAGCATATGCATTTACTCAAGCGGGAAACTTTAAGCAGAAAGAGAGAGAAAAAGATTAAATGAGAATGGTGTATGAAGAGCAAAGTTAAAACTGAGTAGATTATTTTCTATAAAAGCGGCCTTTATCCTCCTCTTTTCTTCTTTCTCTGCCTCTTTTCCCCCTATCTTTCTTTATTATTCGCTTCTTTTCTCTTTACTTTGTCGTGCTTATATAGATTACACGTCTCTTAATTCTCTATTTATTCATTTTCAGCTAATAGGCAATGTCAGGTATTTGTAGTCGTCGCCCCTCGTATATATTCCGGTCGTACCCTCATTTAATAGCTCTTTTTTCACACTTGTAATAAAAACCGTGATTGTTTGCTATTCACTCTTTGCTGTTTTCACATAATATAACCACAAATACAACATACTTACAATGGCCAACTACGAAGATACCTTAACCTGTATTGAACTAAAAAAGATCATTAACATTCACAAGCGACTCTTGTGGTGCTTGGATCGCCTAGACGTATCTTTCCAGTTAGGTGAAATATCGCCCTTGGGCATGCAAGCAGCCATGGTGTTTATAAGAATCGACCAAGAGCAGACAATCCACAAGTCTATAGTAAGATACGATCATTCTATATATTCTCATTCTCTTACCATTAATCTGTGTATTTCATATCACAGAAACTGTTGATTGTTGTAGGTCTCCATACGCCAGATTTTGTTGTCCATCACCACGGTTCAATTAATTGTGATTATCCATATCGTAAGCGCCCAGAGGCTGCTTGCAAAAGACGAAAAAGAAAAAGAATTTTTCAAATATCAAGAATATAGAGATGCCTACAAACTCGATGGTGCTCAAGATATTTGATTTGAACTTTGTTGGTGGTCTCACTTGTGTTCGTGTCCATGATGCTGGCTACTATGTAGAAATATATGTAATAATAAAAGAAGAATTGGCTGTCCTTATAGAAGAAAGAAACCAACAGGAAATATTACATCAAGGAGCCCATAATATTATCTAATGAAGCACTAGTCTCAAAGTATGTGTCGTATTCTACGTTGAATAAAAGTCCATAGGCAGTGCCCGCACATCAATGACAAGCTCAGTAACATAAACTGACTAATTACAATCATAATTACAACAATTCCATATAACAAGTATAACTATTATTTTCAATATCTTTATCTTTGTTTCTTCAAAATAAAAGAAACATAAAGAGTTCCATTGTGCTTTCTGCCTATTATCGCTACTACAATAATAACAGACACCACAGTACGCTCCAATATACATGAGAAAATGTGGGGAAGAAAACAAAGAAGGTAAACGATTAAACTAGTGAGTGGTATGATTATCGCCGACACTAAAAACAGTTTCATACCGTAGATGATATCTTTAAAGGAGGCAAATGTGGCTACATCTAGTTGAATACTCTTTAGAAACTTGAGCAAGTTAGTGCTCCAAAAGAATATCCAACTGTCTAGTCTAAATGTGGTCAGATAGACCCTTTAAATGGATCAATTACTTCCTTTACCTCCTTCTTGATAATTAACCCCCATTCTTTAACACTTGAACTTCGAAGGAAAGGCTACATTGACTCTCTAACGAACAGTTTTATCCTTCTTTTTTTTACGTTGATTTGAATCATTAAATAAAGGCTATTGTTTAATCCACTAAAAGTGTCCTTGTAATCTTGAAGTGCCTGCCAGTGCGTTTAGAAAAAAGCATACAAGTGCATATTTACATATGTTTTTTCTCCTTTCAAATCAAACTTATTTTATCAGTTCAAATAGATCCGCTCGTGAAGGAAAGTTTCTGTAGTTCGCACATTTATGAAAAGCGATTGATAGAACGTGGATCTGACCAAGAATAGTATAATGTATGTAAATTCAATAGTAAACCATCATGACAACATTGCCTATGTGAATATGGTATAAGATAAAAGAGGGGTAATGTTTTATGTAAAAAAAGGGGGTTCAACTGCTCTTTAACTGTTTAATCTGTACCTTGTTTTACTCAAATGCAAAGCAAGCGTATTAGTTACTATCCGTTCTTCTCTTGCTGTTACTAATTTTGCTGAATACATTCCTTTAGGTGATCCAGTCGTTCTATGCACCACTAGTAAGTGATAAAGGCAGACGAAACAAGAATACAAAGTGTGTTTGCTCCAAATACTGACAGCACTAGTGCATCAGCTTTCAGATTTACAATGTGTTGTAAGCAATGGCAAACTTCATTTATATCAGTAAATGATAATGATTCATTGTTTCAGAAACCTGTAATATTATTTTGTTCTTAAATCAAACATCTTTTGTATTAATAAAGGTTAATAATCAAGAAGGCATATGCATACTAATAGGTTAAACAAAAGAGAAGTGCAAATTTAGAGTGCTCGCTGTGAATGCGCCAGGCGACAATAAACACGCGGTTTATTGTTAATAAGAGATACTACCTAACAGTCTTAGGCAGGAAAAGTTTATAGATAATTCAAGGTCGAAGCTATCCAAGCTACCAATGGACACTTTTATATGCATAAAATAGAAATCAAGTTTTGCGACTTTGGTTTATCATATCCATTACTTTTACAATGCTGCTACATTATTCGATGCGGGTATAGTATATCAATGCACTACATTACTTCTTGTATATGAAAGAGCAGGGTATAAATCTTGCGGTAAGAGTAATTTTTTTCATGTCTCTTTGGGAACGCCACACTCTCGCGAGTAACGATAAATACCCACACAAATTTAGTAGCTACAAAATGAAAAGTAGATATCCAAGTTGTAAATGATTTAAGATTAGGATGTTTTTGTTCCGACAGGACTGCTTTTGGACAGGGCGATTTAACGTTGTTCGACTTTTGTCTTACCTGAGTTTCAAAATAGATAACTCAACGTCATCAGAATTTGTTTACGCTCTTCTTTTTGGTCTTTTTCTTGTAATTATGCCAGGTAAATCTTCAAAAGAAAAAAAGGAGAAATGGATATGAATAAGACATTAGGAAACTATCCAAAAAAGCCCAACACAGAAAGAAGGGATTCGTCAACATATAAACAACAAAGAAAGACTCCAAGTAATTTTTTTTAATAATGTGAAGCAAAGGTTGATTGAAACTATAATAAATAGATGTCAAGAAGGATAATAAGATTGTGCCCAACAAAGCAGCAGGAGCAGCTATTTTATCAGCCGTGACTTCACCACCAAGTCCAAGTGTGATTCAGCAACAACAGCAACAACAACAACAAAACGGAATTAATACAAATGAACTAGTCGAGTTTTTAAATATGCGTAAAAAAAAAAAAAACAAAAAAGTGTGGTTCTATACAAAATATTTATATTGTATATAGGCTTTTCAGATGTATTGACAGCTTATCATGATACCAATTTGGATGCTTCACTAAGACCAGAGAAATATGAAAGCCAAGAAAAGGCATGGACAAAACCCGTCTGGGGACAACAGCAGCAGCAGCAACAGAAACCAGGTAAACACAAAAAGAGAGAGAGAAACTGTGATATAAAATATTTATTGTATATAAAAAAGGTGTTATGGCCAATGGACTTGACTTTTTAACAGAAATAACGCATCAAATAAAATAATCATCTTGTTCATCCCAATCGACTTCCTTTACAATCTTTGATCTTTCAACAATATATTTCCCTTCTTTGTATTTCTGAGGCTCTTCAAGCGCACGTAGATACTTCCAACCCAATTTTATATGGCATTGATTGCATGTGATATCAGCTACTGTATGAATTCCTGTCAATAACATACGCTCTTCTTTTGTACCAATTGATATATTTACAACTTGATTTACAAGATAGGCAGGACCGTTCTATATTTAAAATATGTATTATATCCTTTAAACATCCGCACCCCACTTACACGACCCTGAAAGTTTCTGGATATAATAGCGTTTTGTTCTAGTAAATGTGTGTGACAAGAATTACAGGTGAATAGACAAGTTGATTTTAAATAGAGTCGATGTTTTCGTTTGTCCATTTTTTTTAAAAGAAGAAAAAAAGAGAAGAAAGATAGATAAAGACCTATTTAAGCCGGAATATCAGCAGGGGATAAGTCACACGCATAAATGTACAATCAGAGAATGTTTAGTGTGAGTGTGTAATGGATGCAGGCGGTAGGACTCAGTATGCAGCATAATGGTGTAACCGTGACTATTATGGACTGTTCTTTTTGCTTTTTTCCCCTTCTCTTGTCTTTTTTATTTTTTTTTTTCTTGATCTTTATAATGGCAAAGAAAGCAGCTCCTGTAAAAAAAGTGAATCAAAAGCAGATCAAGCGAGCTCAAGAAAAAGATGACTTGACTACACTCGAGTCAAAAGCTTGTCAACCTGTAATTATTTTATTTTTTTTTTCATTGTTTTAGAAAAAAAAATTTATACTTGTTTTAATTAGGAAAACTACAAGGATTGCAAATTATTTGAAGAATTGCCCATTTCAGAAAAAACAAAGAGAGGATTAACTCTATCCAATTTCAAAATGATGACCGAGATTCAACGAAAGGGCATTCCCTTAGCCTTGGCCAAACGAGATGTCCTTGGTGCAGCCAAGACAGGCAGTGGCAAAACACTTTCCTTTCTTATTCCAGTAAGAAATTCTTTTTTGAAGTATATATTTATCTAAACATTATGTAGGTCTTGGAAATTCTCTTTCGTCAGCAATGGAATTCAGCAGACGGTTTAGGAGCACTTATTATTTCACCCACTCGAGAGCTCGCCGTTCAGATATTCGAGGTACTGAAAAAGATTGGCAAGAACCATACGTTTTCAGCTGGTTTGATCATTGGTGGAAAAGAATTCAAGGTCGAACAAGAACGCATCAGTCGGATGAACATCTTGGTGTGTACACCTGGTCGATTATTGCAACACATGGATCAGTCAGCTGGATTTATCTGTGACAATTTACAAATATTGGTACTGGATGAAGCCGATCGTATCATGGACATGGGATTCCAAAACACAATGAATGCCATCATTGACAACTTGCCCAAACAACGACAGACATTGATGTTTTCCGCCACTCAAACACGATCTGTCAAGGACCTAGCTCGTCTTTCCCTCAAGGACCCTGAGTACGTCGCGGTTCATGAAAAGGCTGAATACAGTACGCCCAAGACACTATCACAGCATTACGTCGTGGCTGAGCTGCACCAAAAGCTTGATATTCTCTATTCATTCATCAAGACTCACTTAAAGACAAAGATGATTGTGTTCCTGTCGAGTTGTAAACAGACTCGATTTGTCTATGAGTCGTTCTGTAAGCTTCAACCTGGTATACCCATCATGCACTTGCACGGTAAACAAAAACAGACAAAACGTGTCGAGATCTTTAAGCGGTACACGTCCAGTCAACATGCGCTCTTGCTCTGTACAGATATCGCCGCCCGTGGTCTCGATTTTCCTGCTGTCGATTGGGTCGTTCAGTTAGACTGTCCCGAGGACGCCGAGACGTATATTCATCGTGCAGGTCGTACGGCTCGATTTGATGCAGAAGGCCATGCCTTGCTCATCTTGGTGCCCTCAGAGGTAGAAGGTATGATCGAAGAGCTCAAAAAGAAGCGTGTGCCAATCGAGGAAATCAAGATTAGAACAAGCAAACAGCAGACAATTCAAAAGCAGTTGCAGAGCTTCTGTTTCCAAGACCCAGAGATAAAATACCTCGCACAAAGAGCCTTCGTGGCTTACATGCGATCGATTTACCTTCAAAAGAACAAAAAAATCTTTGATGTCAATGCTTTGCCTGCTGAAGAATTCGCACACTCCCTTGGTCTGGCTGGTGCGCCCAAGATCAAATTTGTCAAGAAGGCAGAAAAGAAAAAGATGGGTCCAGTGAAGGAAGAAGAAAGTGAGCAAGAACAAGAACAAGGCGATGTCAAGACCAAGTACGATCGTATGTTCCAACGAAAGAATCAAGATATCCTTTCAGAGCATTATCATAAGCTGGTTGATTACGAGAGTGATAAGCTCAACGTGCATGAAGATGAGGACGATGAGGACTTTTTGACAATCTCCCGTAAAGATCATGCATTGGAAAGTGATGAAGAAGAAGATATTACAGGAGTAGCACAAGAGAATATATCCAAGCGAAAGCAAAAGATGACAAAGAAGGATAGGATCAAGAATATGCCTCGTGGTGAAAAGATTGTTTTTGATGAAGAAGGAGAAGCACACGCTTTATATGAACTTGCTACTGAGCAAGATTTCTTGAAGGAAGGCGACGTTAAGGATCAAATCAAGGCATTTATAGATGAAAAGGGACAAGAAATGCAACAGGCTGATGTTGAAGACAAAGAGCTTGTGAAACAAAAGAGACTCGAAAAGAAGATTAAGCGAAAGGAAAGAGAGAGAGCAGAAAGAGAAGAAATGGAAGGAATAGAAGGACATGAAGAAGATGACGAAGAGATGGGAGAATCTGAAGAAGAAGAAGAAGAAGAAAGTGAAGAAGAAAGTGAAGAAGAGAGCGAAGAAGAGAGTAGAAAGAGATCTTATGACAGTGAAGAAGAAGAAGAAGAACATATAAACAAGAAGAGAGTCATTGATGTAGAAGAACCATTAACATTAGAAGACCAAGAAGCTCTTGCACTGAAGCTCTTGGGCAACTAAACAATCATTAATTATTATTTTTTTTGTCTAATAAATTCAACACATGCATTACACCCACTTGTGGCTTATTTAATCATTGTTTTTCTTTTTCTTCTCAATGTCAAATGAAGACCATGTTCCACTTTCTCAACATGCATTAAACCTAGAATTAAGAACACATCCTATACGTGGACGTGGCGTGTTCACCAAAGACTTTATAAAACGCAACACACTTGTGGAGATCTCGCCTGTTCTGTTCTTTGATGCTCAAGAGTATGACACACACGGTAAATATACTATACTGGACCACTATACCTATGTATGGCAAGGAGGATATGCGCTGGCGCTTGGACTTGGATCTATGTTTAACCATGATAATAAGCCTAATATTGGGTTTATTCGAGACATCCCAAACAAGTTGATTCGATACGTTACCTTGCGAGATATCGAACCAGAGGAAGAGTTGTGTATATCTTATGGCAATCATCTTTGGTTTGAGACTGAAGAGAATAAAAAGGAACAAGTGTCTGAAGATGAGCATGAGCCATTGCCTTTTTGTGACGATGAAGAAAGTTTATAAATAAAAAGGGATAACAGTTATAAGGCTCTCATTCAAATATCTTTATTTTGCTTCTGTATGTGTGCGATAAAGATGGGCGTTTTTAAAAAGCGAATTAATTCTGTATATGTATTGGTTTGCTACTGTTAAGCATCACCTGATACAGCATTTGCTATCATTCTTATGCCACGCCGTCTTTTGAATTCCGCATGTGCAGCAGTTTTTTTTTTTGCTTCTAAGTACAATACCTTTTATGGCAAGCTCAAGTTATGCACATTGGCCAGTTCCCTTGGCTACTTATTTAAAAGCCAGAATTGGGTGGTAGTAAAAGATCATTGATCTTACTCTTTTTTGGTAGAAGCGATCAGATCAAGAAAAGTAAGACCAGATCAGAATAAAAAAAAAAAAAAGTGGTAGTTGCGTGTTACGAAAAAAATTTTTTTATCCTTTTTGTAAAACAACGAATCACTTAACTTTTTTTTTTATTTATATATATAAATTACAACCCTTCTCTCTTTCTTTTTCTTTCTATAGACCTTTTTTTTTCTTTTAGACTCTTTTTTTTTTTTTATTAAAAAAACGATGAGCAACGACGAAGAATCATCAACAAAAAAGAGTTGGAAGCAATACTTTGCTTTTCTGAAAAACCCAAACTTTTACAAGGTTTTATTCTTGGGCCAATGTAAGTCTAAAATAAAAACATGTAGCCAGCAACTCATATATAACAAATCACAGTGTTGTCTCTTTGTATTACTGGTACAAATGTAACAACAACCATATTGGGTAGTCAATACGGATTCAATGCACCTACAACACAGACCTTTTTGGTTTATGCCTGTTTGGCCATTGTTTACAACAGTTATGCGATCTATAAACGTGGTCTCAAAGGATGGTTACTTCAGTTCTGGAGACGAGGCCACATTTATTTCATTTTAGGATTCATTGATGTGGAAGGAAACTACTTTGTTGTCAAATCCTTTCAGTACACCTCGCTTTTATCTGCCATGTTGCTCGATTGCTGGAGTACACCCGTCTGTATGATCCTTTCTTATTTTTTCCTCAAAGTGAAATACCGATGGCTCCAATTCCTCGGAGTCTTTATTGCGCTTTGTGGTCTAGGCATGTTGGTCGCAAGTGACGTGATCACCGGCAAGAACTATGGTGCTGTCAATCCAGTCAAGGGCGATCTCTTCTGCTTGCTTGGTGCGACACTTTATGGCTTCTCTAATGTCGGCGAGGAATATATGGCTCGAAAGCACCCACTTTATGAAGTCATTGGCATGTTCACTTTCTTTGCCACCTTTATCAATCTCGTTCAGATCTTTATCTTTGAACGCGAGGAGTGGGCAGCATTTGCTGATCATCAGATCACAGGCATGGTTATCACTTATACCATCTGTATGTTCATTCTCTACTCTTTGGCACCTGTCATGTTCCGTCTCGGAAGCGCACTCTTATACAACTTGTCTCTCTTGACCAGTGACTTTTATGGTCTCATCTTTGGGCTTGGCTTGTTCGGATACAAGGTCACTGTGCTCTATCCATTTGCCTATGTTGTCGTTATCATCGGTATTGCCATCTATCACATCTTCCCTGCACCCTTGCCTGCCATTGGTGGTTTCACGCCTGAATTGGCCGAGAGGGAAAGAAGGGAGTTATTCCATGGTAGACAGAATGATGAAGAACAACAAGGAGAGAAAACTCTAGACGAGCAGGTCGATATAGAATCTAAAGCTTAGTTTATCATATACACCCTTATACATGGTCATTTAATGTAAATGCATTCTGTTTATATTAATGGTAATGTGTAGCCCTTCAGCGTCTTTTGTTACACTGTACATAAAAAGACGTAACTAATAAAGTCTCTTCTATTATCTGTTATGTAAAACTTAAAAAGCATCTTTTTTTTTTTAATCAAACAGATGTCTCTGATACATGCCGTTTTTTTTTGTTTTGTTTTGTTTTGTTACATCTTTTCGGAGCCACGCGCCGCAACCGTTTGTATATCACAGCATAATAAATATTGAAAGAGAGCGAGCGAGAAAAAGAATCAAAGTTTATTAAGAACAAAGGGGGCGGGAGCATAAATGAGTATCGTCTAGTCTTGCTTTAGTCTATAATACTACCTGTAAGCAGTATGCTTTATGTCTTTCACTACCCAAACTTACTCGATAGCCTCATCTTCTTCCTCATCTTCGCTTCGGGTATCTTCTGCGTTCTTGCCCTGCAGAACACGAACAATAACATTCACAATCAGGATAAACCAGTAAAACATGATGACATTCAGCGCTAGAAACGCAGAAATATACAGTTTTTGTGTGAAGGGTGTGAAGTACTTTCCCTTTTCTGGTTCCCATTTCATATCAAGATACTGACTAGGTTCGACTTTACAAAAATGAATATACCTATAATAGCAACAACAAAGCAAAACTTACCAGCTGTAGCCCAGATGATGATACCGAATAGGATATGACGAGTGATTGGCCAAGAGATTGCAAACAAGGCAAAGGCCAAATCACATACAGTAGTGAATCCCAGATACTTTAGGATCTTGGCAAGCTATTGCACATATAAATATATATAACAACACACACACACACACTTTGTAGCTTACCGAAAGGCAAATATCACATAAATCCATACAACAAAGAACCGCATTTCCGATCCGAGTAAAATTGGAAGCATAACTTGAGACAATCAAGGTGATCGTGATAAAATGATGAGTGACCATTGCAAAGTGATCCTTTCTTTTCTTTTCGACATGAATTGTATACACTTGCTGTATCCAAAATGCGAGTTGCATCAGATAATACATTTTCATTTGCTTCGTCATTATGAGATGAGGATAATCGATCCAGTAAAAAGATGTGTTTAGCCAATGAGGGCTATGATACATGATGTACATGCCAACACTCCAAAAGACGATATAATAGCTAAACATCCATCCTTGTTCTGCAAATCTTTGTCGCTTCGACCTGTCCATGCCCCACCATTTTCCAATAGGCAGATACACAAATCTCATGGTTGAGGCGCGTAAGAACGTAAAGGTGACAACCCAGTAAGCGACATAATAGATATCGTCTGATCCTTTTCCGTATTGATTGTCAGCAATTTTGTAAGATAAAACTATATACTTTTTAAAGGTATGAAGACCAAGATAATAGGCCATTAGAATTGAAAGCGTCAGCACACTGGTTATACCTAACAAAAAGAATGTCAGATGACGTTCAGATTGACATATGCTTCAGCCCTTTTTAAATAAAAACATACCAAGCTCAAGTTCTAATGCGCGTTCCTTTAAGCTTTTTGTTCTCTGACGTACTGGCTTCTTTTGTATTGAAGGAGGTTCCTTTTGTTTTGTTACCTTGGTCGGCATTTAATATTATGTGTTTTTTTGAACAAAGAGAAAAAGGGAAAAGAGAAAGAAATGACACTGAAAAAAATATTTATATACTCTTGGTTTTTTTTTTGGCCCTTTATTTGTGTGCTATTGAAATACCGTTGTGACTGCAAGGACAATGGATATACACACACAAAGAACGTTTCTCTGACCTCATCCACACTATAACTTCCAACCTAACGACACTAGTTACTTTTGATGTAGATCATAAATAAATCTCTTTCACTTTTTTTTTTTTTATAGTAAATGAATAGTTCCTTAAATGGCTATTTCCGGTCCAACAGAAACATGTCTTAACAAGTAAATAAAAAAAAGGGGGAAGACACGACATGATCTTTTTTCTCTCCCCAAAAGCATAAATAACAGTAAGCTTAATTAGCCTCATATGAAACAAAGCCTCTTATATTATGTGAGATCAAGAAACCGAGGATCTGTGTCTCCTCCTTTATATGCGCTGCTTAAAAAAATAAATTGTTAAATCAGATCCGTAGGAAAACTAAGCCCAAGAGACTTTATATTCTTTTTACTCGGCTCACGGAGTTTAGACGAGTGAAACTCTTTGTCACCCGAGTTGAAGGATATTTTAATGTTTTATAATACACCTTTTGTTGAAGGAACATCATCTGTGCCTGTTCTACTAGCAGCTTGTCTTATGGCAACAGCCAATGCTTTGAATGCAGATTCAGCCCTAGCGAAAAATGATATAAGCATCCCCCTCTCCTTTTTTTTTTTAAAGAAATGATCTTACTTGTGATGATCGTTTTGTCCTTTCAACACGTCTACATGAAGCGTAATACCTGCTGCGCCAGCAAAGGATTGCAAAACGTGAGGAATCATCTCGGTAGATAGCTCGCCAATCTTTTCACGCTTCAGGTCCAAATTGATATCAGCAAAAGGACGTCCAGAGATATCGACAACAGCGCGAGAGAGTGCCTATAATAACTGGTTTAGATATAAATGATATCAATCTGTACAATATCACACCTCGTCTAAAGGACAGTAAGCGTTGCCAAAGCGCTGAATGCCCTTGGGCGTACCAAGTGCTTGCTTGAAGGCCATACCTAAGGCGATACCTGTGTCCTCTGCAGTATGATGATCATCGATGTAAAGATCGCCCTTACAGTGAAGTTCTAATGACCATCCACCATGCTTTGCTAGGGCGTGGTACATCTATCATTTATATTAGTTTTCTCTCTTTGTTTGCAATGTTGAAATGTACGTGATCGAGGAATCCAATGCCAGTGTCAATTTTGATCTCTTGGTTCATTTTGTCGTCAAGGTTAATGGAAACCTTGATGTCTGTCTCATTTGTTTTTCTTTCTACAATTGCTGTGCGTGCTTCCATTATCTTTCTTATCTATAAAAGTACCTCAAATGCGATTATTAGGATTTTTTTTTTTCTTTTGATGGCATCTGAGATCTAAAATGAGACGACTGCGATTTTGTATGGCCAATTCTAGGTGCACCATACCCTCTGAAGTTAAATTGCCAAAGTGACAGCTTATCCTTTGGTCCTAAGGAAATTACTGTTGGTATATCACCGATAGCTCTTCTGCACGTCGTGTAATATGTTGGGTATTATTAGACAAATGGTGATCTGTTAATGTGGAGTATAAATAGTCGACCTATGTTCAAACACGTTACACAAAAAACATCTATATGTACCATCGCGCTGGAAGGTGTAAGAGTCGTAACTGTTTTTTGCTGCTTCTTTAATGCGGTCGGCTGCACTCTTATTCTTGGCGCACACCCTCTCGCGCCACCAAACTGACCATAATCATATAATGCGTCATGCTCGGTTTTTATTGGCCACGTAAAAATCCTGTTTGTATATAAAAAGATACTGTTTATAATAATGAGCTTTAATGGCTGCAGAATTGTTGGCGAATTTAGAAGTCGGTCCTTCATGAAAACTTATGTTAGCCACATCTCATATTTTGTATTCATATCTTGGTACTAGTTTCCTATCTGATTTATTGCAATACATCGATGAATTTCGGTGGCCAAGAAGGTTCAGGTAAAATGTTGAAAGTAAATAAAACGTCAATCCACTAAGATGAGTGACAGTAGGCCGCATTGGAGAAAAAAAGGTATATGAGGAGAGACTTTTATAATACAGTTGCTTATCTATGTACCTTTACGACTGCAAAGACCTCAACGGCCAAAGGAATGCTCATTAGATCAGACTGTCCTTTCACCAAAGAGAACCCCTTGATCGTAACGGGCATATATATATATATATATACCGTCTTCCATTAAAGTCATTCTGTGAAGAGAGCATTCAAAATCCATTACAATAGAATAAGTAGTGGATCCTGTGAGTATAATGCTATGCTGTATGTGAGTCTAATATCTTACCCTCGCACAGCAAGCCAAAGAATACGGGGGTTCTTAATCCCCAATGGCAACTGGATGTCTATAAAGTACTTCAACTCCTTCCTCAACTTGAAGCTTGTTCTCACAGCCATATCTCTTCAATCTGACGTAGAAAAAGTAAAGTTTTCTTTTTCTATCTTCAATTCCAAGTATGAAGCCGGGTTTCTTACGTTTCTTCTTCTTGCTTACAGCAATTCTATAAAAAAGAAAAAAAAATGCTGTTGAAGCTACATACATCTTTTATATCAATACTTGCATTGCATAAACGATGCTGCCACTTGCACCGCCTAAAAATATTGTCTCCTGTTGACCACAGCATCATCCAATTTTTTCTGAATCTGGCAAGCATTTTTGTTAGATTAATGTCTTCAATGAAGAACTACGTAATTAAAAACGTCTAATTTTAAAGCACACTTTGTGATAACATATCAAGCTACACAGATACTTACTGAGCTTTTAGTCTCTCAATCTTTTTGGCCATTGCCACAAAAGTAGTCTATAACTCCCCCTTCTTTTAACCAATGGAGCACAGAACGAGGAAGCTCGAGCTAACAGTATTTAGCCTTGAAAGTTCGTAAAAGACAACATTGTGTAAAGCATACATTCATGCCATATTCCCACTTTTTGGACAAGTCGAACACAAACAAGGTGGATTGTTTTTTGAAAAAGAAAAGAGATATTATCAAAGTGAAATTATAATGAGAGAAAGAGAGAGCGAGCATATAGCTGCTATTTAGGTTTAATGTTCTTAATGTGATCATTTATATGCTCTACTATAAGGTATTATAATGGCTTATCTCACTAAACGCGTCAAATATCAGAAACGAATTAAATTTCTTTTAAATCATCATTTAATGATTAAAATGGATGACTGACTGCTAATTGATAAAGGATGCAAGTAGTAGGCCATTTGCCTCTCATTGCACACAAGAAAGATGACAACCTCAATAGACATGTTGGGCCAAGACATAGTAATGCGATAGAGCTTCTAAATCAAAAAAGATATTCTTTATCATAATAAGGATCATTTTAATTGATTAATTGGTTTAGAGTAATAAAAACAAATAAATGAGAAGCTGCCTATAGCTTATTTTATTGTAATGGGGATATAAAGGAAGGCTTGACTCATAAAATCAAATCAAATATCTATCTGTGACTTTTCTTTTTTTTTATACCCCCTAATTTCAGATTCCATTTTTGTCAAAATGAGGGTCAGTGGCAATCTCCACTTTCCCGTTTTTTTTTTCTTTTTCCTTTTTTACCACGCCTCCCCAATGTTGAGATCGCTTACAATAACTTCTTCTATCACTAAACAAGGCCTTGCTAAAAGAACTTTTGCTGTTGCTGTATGCATTTTCTACTTATTCTCCAACACCTTTTTTCTTTTTACTTACTATCTATTTGTCTAGTCGCAGCAACAGCTTCGTACACATGCCACAATTACCAGTGATAAAAAGTCAAAACAATCAAGGCTAGAGGAACTACGAGAAAAGTTACAAAAGGAGGATACAAATACGTTGGATGAATTTGTAAACACAGGACACTCAGGAAAATTAAGCCAAGCAGAAGCCTTGGAGTTGAGAGAGACGGTTGTCCCAGGAGAAAAGATTAAGACAACAAAATTGTAAGCTAGTTTTACAATGCTTATATGAAACTAAGCTATCATTATGTTTTATAGAAAGCAACCACGTTTACCCGAATGGTTAAAGACAGAAATCCCAGCAGGAAAAAACTTTGGCAAGATCAAGCGAGACCTTCGTGGCCTTGGCCTTCATACCGTATGTGAAGAAGCTCGTTGTCCAAACATTGGCGATTGCTGGGGTGGAGGTGAGCATCAGACGGCTACAGCAACTATTATGCTTATGGGTGATGAATGTACAAGAGGATGTCGATTCTGTTCTGTCAAGACCAATAGAGCACCCAAGCCATTAGATCCTCATGAACCAGAGCATACGTCAGAAGCTATTAGTCGATGGGGATTAGATTATGTTGTTCTCACTAGTGTTGATCGAGATGATTTGCCCGATGGTGGATCTCGTCATTTTGCAGAGACAATTCGTAAAATTAAACAAAAGTATGTGTATATTCGTCATGTTTCGTACTACATTCTAACCAACCTTTCTAGAGCTCCTCATATTTTGGTAGAATGTCTGACAGGTGATTTTGGTGGTTCACTTGAAGGCGTAGAAACCGTTGCTTTATCAGGATTAGATGTATATGCTCATAACATTGAGACCGTAGAAGCCTTGACACCTTATGTTCGTGATCGACGAGCAGGTTTCCGCCAATCCCTCAAAGTACTCGCGCATGCCAAGAAAGTCAACCCTGAATTAATTACTAAATCATCCATCATGCTTGGCTGTGGAGAAACTGATGAAGAGGTGCTCCATGCACTTCAGGAGCTTCGAAAGGCTGAAGTTGACTGTGTTACACTCGGTCAATATATGAGACCTACCAAGAGACACATGAAGGTACATGAATACGTCACTCCTGAAAAGTTCAAGCATTGGGAAACAAAGGGTATGGAGATGGGATTTAAATATGTTGCCAGCGGACCTCTTGTTCGATCAAGTTACAAGGCTGGTGAGTTCTATATTGGTAACATCTTGAAAGGTCGTAGAGGATTACCATTATCTCCTGCACCCAAAGAACTTGATAATTCCGAAAGCAAAAAATTGTAATGAAATAAACAATAATTTATATACTGTAGTTTGCGTCTGAAGTATATTAAAAGAGAGCCTTTACCAAATGCGCGCCTACATCTTCTTCATTGAGTGGGCCAACATTCATAAGGGCTACATCACATAATTCATTCTGTGTTTTCCTGTCATTCACCACTTAAATCAATATCGAGTACTTTATATCCTCACTGCTAGTCGCCCAAACAAAGAAATCTAGATCGTCCTCAGCGTAAAATCGGCTTTTTCATAGCTACTATATTTTTCCTAGTCACCTGTAAACTTTACCTTTCCTGCAAAAATGTGCTGACACATTGTACCACCTTTAAATACAATTGATATTTTCTCTTTTCTCTTTCTTTCTTTCTCCTTTTCTTTAACAACATTATGTCTCTTTGGGAATCTCAACCGAGAACAGATCTTCCTTTCTTGCCTCACTTTTCTCAATTGTCTGATAGAGTGTGGCGTGTAATGGGATTAAATCCAGGGAGATTTACATTGCAAGGTATAAAAGAAATAAAAAATATAGAAAAAGATAATCTCAATTATGTGATATCAAACAGGTACAAATACATATCTTGTGGGATTAGGACCACGGAAGGTGTTGATTGACTGTGGGGATGGACACCCGGAATATATGCCATTATTAATTGAGTCACTATCCAAGATTGATAAAGAGGCATATATTTCCGATATTCTCATCAGTCACTGTCACAAGGATCACTGGGGAGGGTTGAACGAGATAATGTCTTCTGTACTTAACAAGGAGAATACAATCAAAGTACACAAATTTCCTCTTTTGGCAGAAAACCCATTATTTAAATATCTGGAACCCTTTCCGGAAAGCGTTGTTTTTAATGAACTGCAAGACGATCAAGTGATTAGAGTAGACGATGCAACACATCTTATCGTCCTTCATACGCCCGGGCATGCTATGGATCACTGTTCGTTTTATTTAAAAGAAGAACACGCTATGTTTACAGCAGATTGTATACTAGGACACGGAACAGTGACTTTTGAAGATCTCTCGGAATACATTCAAAGTCTTTATAGAATTCAACATTATAGACCAGCACGACTCTACCCTGGACATGGACAACATGTCGAAAATGGAACAGAGAAAGTAGAGGAATATATCTCTATACGATTAGCCAAGGAGCGACAGATCATTGACTTGATGAAAGATGGCTCAGCAACACCGATTGAGTTGGTTGAAAAGATGAATGCAGCTTTTAAAAATTATTCAGAAAACGTGATGGCAATCATAGTTCGTACCGTGGGATTACATCTTATTAAGCTCTATCGTGATGGGAAAGCAGAGATGATAAATAAGGAAAAATTTGAAGAAAAGACAGGATTGGATCCCTATGACCCACATAACGTCTTTTCAATCGTCAATCAAAAGTGGCAGTTGTGCAATCATAATAGTAGTAAATTGTAATAAAAGGTCATTAAAATATCTCTACACGCGTACGTTTAGCGCGCATAAAAATATACATGTTTTTTTTTTAATCCATTGTCTCAAGTCGATATCTTTTTAGAGTAAAACTTCTTAAAGAGCGCTTAAGAGATTTGATATGCTTCTTTGTTTGTTTTATTAAAAAAGGGAACCTTTCATTCAATTCTGAGTTTGTAGTCTTTTAGATCAATGGAATGGCATGAAAATCGGGATCACGTGTTATTTCTCCCTTTTTTTCTTATGAGCAGTAGATCAGATGACAGTGTGTCATTAGCAAAGCGATTTCTTACTGAGCAAAAGCAACAATTATCAACCTCGAGATCAACAACGTCCTTGCCTGACTTGGTTCAACCTTCCAAGGAGAATCGGCAGATACCAGACTTAACTATGCGTCGAGGAAATAGTCAATTAAACATCAAGTCATTGACGACTACAACAATTACTACAAGTACAAGAGAACAATTACATAAACAAATGTAAATAATATCTATACGCGTAATCAATAGACTCAAAGTATGTATATAGTCTCAAAAAGCGACGGCATTCATTTAGTAGTTTCTTGAGTGTAAAGTATGGTAAATTAGCAGCAGCAGATAAAGTACGCAACTTGAAAAAATTAGCAACGCTTTCGTTGACATCGGATGCTTCGCGTACATTATCATCAACAGAGCAAGGTGTCAAAAAGGGTACACAGGGACATCGACCAAGATCTTATTCAGAGTAATAATTACAAAAAGAAAAAGAAAAAAGAGGGAGATGTAAGCTGACTGCGGTTAATATATAGAATTCCATACAATATACCGCATGTAGAAAGAGCGCCCCCGGTTGCTATTACAAACAAGACACCAGCATATGAATATTACGGATTCGCCATGTACTTGGCGTCGTTTGTCGTATTTGGTGTTTACCTAATTTGGGCTTATGTACCTGATTCTATTTTGCATAGCCTAGGAATTACATATTATCCTAATAGGTAAAAAAAGAACAATAAAACTGATAAACTAAACAATGGATAGATATTGGGCATTGGCTATACCAGTTTGGCTAATGACATTCGTATGGTTTATATTCTTTTCATACATGACGATTAACTTGTGGAATACGCCTTCATTTGATTCGTTTGATTGTATTACAGGTAATATCAAATAGATGACATATGGATAAGCTGCGTGTAACCTATAATAGATGAACATGCCAATATAATGAAACTCGAAAATCAAAAAAGTATAGATCAGCCTTCAGATTGGATACCCGAACTCCATGATATACCCATTGGCTTGGTTAATAAGTTTCTCTATGATGAACACACCGAAGCAAAGAAAAATGCTAATAAAAGGGTATTTTATCGATAAAAAAGATCAAATATACCCTAAGGTTTTGGAGGTATATTCAGCGCCATTGTTCCTTACAAAACCATGGCAACCTTTGGTACACACATGATCTTTTATGCCCTCTTAGAACTTAGCTTCATTTAGCAAACTTTACCCCGTAAATAAAAAATATATATGTGGATAAACCGTCGGGAAATAAAACGAGATAAGATATGATATGGTTTTCATGTGAGAAAGAGCGGGAGAGGGAGATGTTCAGATAGTAAATATAGTAATAAGTTATAAACATAAGATACACGTATCATACATCATGTCCTATTACCTCCTTCTTCTCTTTAGTCAGCCCTCCTTCTTTCCTCGGTTCTATGTCTTTTTCATTCCGAGGAACTTTAATAAATCATTCATCTCTTTTTCTTCCCTATCATCTCTACCATATAAAGAAATCGTGACTAACAAATATTTCTTATCAATATCAAAGGGTGATACTTAACCTTAATTTTTTTATATAAAAGGATGGCATCAAAAAGTAACAAAGAGAGGCTTTATTCCTAAATACTTACAATGGCTGTCGTATCTAATACCACACTTCTTCAAAAATATCTTTCTCTTGACCAAAGAAACAAGGTCCAAGTCGAATACGTCTGGATCGACGCTAACAATGGTTTAAGAAGTAAGACAAGAACCGTCGACTTTGTTCCTCAGAGCCCTAGCGAATTGCCCGAATGGAACTTTGATGGTTCTTCCACTGGTCAAGCCGAAGGTCATGACTCTGATATTCTGATCGAGCCCGTTGCTCTCTTTGCTGATCCTTTCCGTGGAGGCGACAACAAGTTTGTGATTTGCCAAACCTTTAACCCTGATGGCACCCCTCATTCAACCAACCACCGTCACCATTGTAAGAAGGTGATGGAGACTTATGCTGCATCCAAGCCATGGTTTGGTATGGAACAAGAATACATGCTCTTTGATCCCGAGACCGGCAAGCCTTATGGTTGGCCCAAGCACGGTTTCCCCGAGCCACAAGGCAAGTACTACTGTGGTGTAGGTGCTGGTAAGATCTTTGGCCGTGACATCATCGAAGCTCATTACCGCGCTTGTCTCTATGCTGGTGTCAACATCTCCGGTATCAATGCTGAAGTTGCTCCTGGCCAATTCGAATTCCAAGTAGGCCCCTGTGAAGGTATTGCGATGGCCGATGAACTCTGGGCTGCTCGCTATCTCTTGGAACGTGTTGCCGAAGACTTTGGTCTCGTTGTCTCTATTCATCCTAAGCCTATCAAGGGTGATTGGAATGGTGCTGGTTGCCATACCAACTTCTCTACTGAAGAAATGCGTCAAGAGGGTGGTATTGCTGCTATCGAAAAGGCTATTCAGAAGATGAGCTTGCGTCATGCTGAACATATCGCTGTCTATGGTGAAGATAACGATCAGCGCTTGACTGGTAGACACGAAACTGGTCACATTGATCAATTCAGTTACGGTGTTGCCAATCGTGGTGCCTCTATTCGTATTCCTCGTCACGTCGGTAAAGAAGGCAAAGGTTATCTCGAAGATCGTCGTCCTGCCTCAAACGTTGATCCTTACCGTGTTACTGCCATCATCGTTGAATCTACCTTTGCCTAAGCTTTTAAGGGCTTTTTGTATATTATTTATTTTGTATATTTATACCTTAGACATTAAATTATTGGCACTCAATTTAAAATCAATAACAATTACACTTTAGTTGATTATCAATTTTTTTTCTTTATTGTTTCCAACTTGAAAGCGTATAATAATGCTTAAATTGAGTTTGTTCTTTTGAGGGAAGAGAAGATAATTGTGGCTACCATTTCATAAATAACACATAGCTGAAGAAGTTGTTAGAGACTTAATATAAATAGTCTTTGTCTTCCTTTTCTTTTCTTCTTCTTTGGACCAAAGTAAGACCAGCCATTTCCCAGCTAGTCCTAAGGTATGTTATATTCTTTACTCTTGTAAGAAACTGATATGTAATATTATAGATCATAAAATCGAAAGCAGTACCGATGCTAGCTGGGGATAGTTTGGTAAAAACCAAACTTTGGTCTACACACTCATTCAACCCCTTTCGCTCCTTTAGCCGCTCTCTTCCTTGCTCTTCTCCTTTCCCTTTTTAATGCACTTTTGGTAAGACATTAACAATATCTTTTACAAGTTTACTCACTTTTCCTGCTTCTTTTTTTCTTTTATAAAAACTTTTCTTTATAATGTAAGTATTTAATATCGATATAATAACTGATTTACTAATCGTTTCTTTTATATCTCATTCTTTTGCTTCTTGTGGGCTCTCTTTTATCATTATTTGTTGTCTGAAATTATCATTTTTTTTTTATCAGTGTGCAAATGATTTGTGAATCACTCTAATCACTCTAGTATAACACATAACATAACACATAACACACTTATAACACATAACACACTTAACACATTAGAACAATGGAAAACAATACTTCTAGAACAACTATATGCTCCTCCTGTGTTGCGACATTGCCAGCAGATTCACGCTATCGCACCTGCCAAGCGTGTAGAGAAAGAGTTGCAGATTCACGCCGCAGACGTTGAGCTGAACAAGAAGAGCAGGAAGGCAGCCCAGTAAGACGTAGGGGAAGACCTAGATTAGAACCTTCTCAGATCATTCCCGCTGCTTATATCTCGCAGCTTTCTCGTCTTCGTTCTTCGGACCTTGGACGTATAGACAAGGAATGCTCACACTGCCACGCCTCGCACTGGATCGATGAAAGGCAAGAGACATCTTCGATGAGAAATCCCAGCTGGGAGTCATGCTGCAAGCAGGGATCAGTCCAGTTGCAACTCTTACCTGATCCACCTGAGTACTTGAAGGACTTGCTTGAACGTACGGACACTCAAGACCGTCACTTTAAGGATAACCTTCGCCAGTGCAACGCTGCCTTTGCCTTTACTTCGTTGGGCTGCGATATTGTTTCGCCTGAGGATCGTGCCAACAACAACAATAACAATAACAATAACAAGAGAGGTGGATTAAACGCCTTTCAAATCCATAGCGCACTTTGCCACCGTCAAGGCTCTTTGACTCCAGTTGAAGGCAATGAGCCTTCCTACGTCCAGCTATATATATTTGATCCTTCCTATGCCGCTGAAAGAAGACAAGCACGAAACAGCAACCTTGATCCTGAGATCGTTAGGGAGCTTTCGGTCATACTTGCCCAATGTAACCCCTTTGCGCGTATATATCGCCATGCACACGAGATATTGAGCAACCATGAGAGCAGCAACACTGTCAGTAATGGTAATGATTAAAGAGAAGTCAGTGCGCCATACATCATTATCAGCCCATCAATGAGAATGCGTTTAATTGAAGGAAGCGATAGACGCACACACAGCCTTCCAACAATGGAAGAGATTGCTGCTGTTATACCAATCGAGTATAGTGACAGAAGTTTCCGTGATATTGTTCTTACCTTGAGAAGCAATAGCAGTCTTCGTCATAACACTGGATTTGAACAGCACTTACAGAGCATTATTTCCATTTGTTTCTCCATGAAATAAAAAAGTGCCTTGCATTATCTGAGAATAAAATAATTTGTAAACGAGAGTGATGAGCTGTTTTATCATTAGATAAAACAATAGACAGTAACTTTACAGCTCTGTCCAAGAGAATTACACAAGTAAATAGACACTTAAAAGAAGGAAGACATTCTTCTTTTAAATTTGATATCATTTACGTATTGAACTTGAGAAGGAGAGAAAAGACTAAGGGCAAAATGAACATAGTATTGTAGATAAATAAAAAATGTCGT